CAAGCAAGCTATTTTCATCCCTACTTTCGACACCATTACGTCCGAACAATTAGCTGAGCTTTTTGTTATTCACGTCTTCTCTAAACATGGTGTTCCTAATCATGTCACTTCTGATCGTGGTTCCGAATTTGTTTCGGCGTTCTTCCGGGCTCTCGGGAAAGCGCTCTCCATGGAACTTCATTATACCTCTGGATATCATCCGGAAGCCGACGGGCAGACCGAGCGTGTCAATCAGACTCTCGAACAGTACATCAGGATCTATTGTTCCTACCAACAAGATGACTGGTCGCCGCTACTTCCGATCGCCGAGTTCGCCTATAACAACGCTCCCAACGCTTCCACAGGTATTACTCCATTCTTCGCTAACAAAGGATACCACCCAAATATCACCGTTCGGCCCGAGGTCGACATGAAGTCTGATCTTGCTAGAGACTTCGTCGTCAACCTTGATGAACTCCACGCTTTCCTTCGAGAGGAAATCCTTTTAGCTCAGTCTCGTTACAAGGAACAAGCTGACAGGAAAAGAATCTCGCACCCGGAGTTCCCGATCGGCTCCGAAGTTTTTGTTCTTGCTAAGCATATTCGCTCTACTCGTCCTACTGAAAAATTCTCTGAAAAATATCTTGGTCCTTTCAAGGTCGTCAGTCGACCTGGTACTTTGTCTTATGAACTCAAGCTCCCGGACTACCTTCGCCGAATTCACCCGGTTTTCCATGTCTCACAGCTGGAGCCGGTTACGCCGAATCCTTTCCCGAATCATACTCAATCTCCTCCACCTCCAATTGAAGTCGATGGTGAAGAGGAGTACAACGTTGCCGAAATCCTGGACTCCAAGCTGGACAGAAGGTATAAGCGTTGTCCTCTACGTTATTATATTCGGTGGGCCGGTTATGAAGGTACCGACGATGAATTCTCCTGGGTTGCTGCTGATGAATTACATGCTGATGAACTGGTACCCGCATTCCACGCTCGATACCCTTTGAAACCTGGACCTTGATCACACAAAATCATTTTATTCCTTTTCCCCGTTTTTCCGCCGCGCTCCGCCGAAGTTTACTTTGTGCGTTAGAGGATAAACACGATGATAGCAAATTGAGTGTTTATCTCTTTCCCTAAATTGCTTACATTCTCCTTCAATTTACTGTTCTCACTTATATGTTATTTACACTTAAAAACTACCTATACTTCGAACTAATTACTTCTTACGCCGCCTCGCGGCCCATTCGCTTTCCGATTCAAATCGCGTTAAATTTTTATATACAAACAAAAAACCAAAAAAAAAACAATTTATACAACAGGGACAGGAGACAACAAGAAGACTACAAGAAGTACAAGAGAGGCCGAAGGCCGATGTCCGATGTCCGCGATACTACTACTCTACCACTTCCTTCTCCTTCCCCTTATCCGCTCGCGCCTTGGTCGGCGCCATCTCCTCCTCGACTATTTCCTCCTCCTCTCCTTCCCCATCTTTCTCCATCTCCTTCTCCCTCTCCTCCACTTCTTCTTCTTCCTCCCTTTCTTCATCACTCTCCTCAACAACCCTTCGCCGCTTCAACGGACGCCGCCGCTCGGTGGTCCTCCTCGACGGTCCTGCCGCCGCCGGTCCTTCTCCCATACCCATCAAGGACATCCTAGTGTCCATGGATATGAGGCGCGTATGATCGTCCTCTTGCCTTCTCAGCAGCTGGCGAAGGTACTGCTGAGTTTTCGAATTGGCCTCTCGTAAGGCCCGGTTGTCGGCGAGGATCTGCGCCATCTGACTTTCGAGTACGGCCAAGCGCTCGCTGCTCGGACTTGATCCTCCCTCCTTCTTCACTACATACGGACGACCCGAGTACGAACATCGCACCTTCGAGTCGTGGCAGGGCTTGCAGATTATGCTGCTCCGCTTGCCAGCCTGCTTTAGGCAAGGGATCTTCTTCGACCGGCACCGCTCGCAAGGCTCTCGGTCATCCTCATCATCATCATCGTCGTCGCCGTCATCGCCATCATCGGGGTCCTCACCAACGGGCTGAAAAGGAATAAGTTAGCAACAAGAAGAGATCAGGGGAAAAAGAGGACGCACCTGAACCTTGGCTTTGCCTTTTCCTTTACTCTTCAACCTCGATATTTCCACAATCGGCCTTCTCGGCAACGCAGAAACATCCCCCGTCGAAGTTCCTCCCTGACTCCTAGCTGTTGCAGCCTCTGCTAGCTTCCTCCTCCGCTCGACGAGTTCGTCCTCCTGTTCGCGAGCCCGAACGGCCCGGTCGCGTGCACCTTGAGCAGCCTGACGTCTGGCCGCCGCCGCCTGTGCCGCCGCTCGCTTCTTTTTCTCTGCCTCCTCTGCTGCCTTCCTCGCAGCCGCCTCTTCTGCTGCCTTCTTCTTGGCAGCCTCTGCTGCTTTCCTTGCTTTGACTCGTTCAACCCGTGCCAGGGCCTCCCTGAGGATTTCGTCTTCATCCTCGTCGATAGGAGCGCCAGGACTCGGAGGATCGGCGGGGCGGGCTGAGGTACTAGCAGAGGGTTGGGTAGTGGTGGTGGTACGGCTTGTCGACATTGTTGTGGACTTAGAAAATTTGAGGAAAAGTTAGGCCCTTAGCGGCAAAACCCTGGGCCTTTTATACGGCAAAACTGCGCACGGACCAGCGAAAATTTTCCTTCGAATTGTACTTGGTGTACGGTGAACCGAAAATTTTCACTGATGACTAACGCCATTTCCCGGTACTAACGGCTTTTGAAAATTTTCCTGCTGACTGATGGGCCAAATCCCCGATCCTGACGGCCTTTAAAATTTTTCTTTGGTGACTAACCAACTCCCGGTATTAATGGCTTTTGAGGGCTCAAGCCTAAGAGGGGGATACTGTCAAGTCCATGCCGCGGGCCTCCATTACGCCGCTCGGTACTCCGAAGATCTGCTCCTTATTGTAATCTCACTCCTATTGTTCTTTCTCGCTACACATATCCTTTCATTCTAGTCTCTCATTATTGTCTTTTACTCTTTCGTTCTAGTCTCTCCTTATTGTCTTTTACTCTACCCTGCAGGTACTACTCGTATAGCTCCTAGTAGTTAGTCTGGCGCTCCGCACCGATGCGCCGTTCCGTAGATATAAATACTGCCTGTACGCTACTGTAGTTCCTCAGTTTAATTATCGACTTAGATCAACTTAGATCTCCCTTCTCAACTTAACTCTTCTCTAAGTCTTCAGGCTCAACGCCTTGGAGTACTCCCCATTATAACCTTAGGACTTAGACGTCCTCTGGTTCGCTCCTCGTCACCGGCGATACCGCTGCTCCGACCTGGCTGCTACTTAGCTTCTCTCTCTCTACTCTCGCTCTCCGGGGACTAACGGCGTAACGGCGGTGTTGTTAATAACTTCACTACTGTCCCACTCGTCTTCCGCACTTAGACACCTTGTGGCTCTGGCACGGTTACACGGTGTACATGATCTTAACAACATGGTAAACTGGTTGTTCGGGAATCGGACCTCGCCAGTATAATTCATATCCTATCCTATCCTATCCTGATCCCAAATCGTAATGCTCTCAATGCAGCTCATGAAAACCAAGCCAAAAAATTCATTGACGATTTGCGGACAATAATTGTCGTCCAATTGAATGTGCGTATTTGCCTATGTTCATAGCTGAGGCTGATCATAAATTTAGGACTTTCCTATTGATCAACATGCGTTGGAGATGTTTCGGTCCAGGCAATGATTTGAATTGAACACCGCCAGAGTCATTTTCCAAGCTTAAAGACAAAGATTTGATTTTTTAAAACTGTGTAGTGCTGTCGATAGTAGTTGTCCGCTTGTATTGTTTCCAGAAAAATTTTGGCTACTATATGCATTGTGTGATAAAATATCTCGAAACATTCGCAAATCGCGATGATGTGATTCTGAAAGCTGTATATATCAGTGCATCAAGCTTCCGTAAGTTTTTTGTCATAAGGAGCAGCAACTTACGGAGATTCGCATACGAATACAGATGATGTATGTATAACAGGCTAAGTCGGCAAACTTGGACTGGTCGATGTTTCATTAAACCTTCCAAAAGCATTGGGTGGCAGTGAACTTCTGATACTGCACAATATTGGTGTAGGTCCTAGGGTACTGAGTCTCGGAGTCGTACTACCAGTGTTTCTATGTAGTGAATATAGTGTCTGATCTTCTCTTGTAGTTGCCTGTTCGAGTATCTGCTGATCTCTTGTTTTTGAAAGTTCTAGTCGAGAGTTTTCCAAAAATGCAATACATTTAACAACCTCGATCTTATTGGTACAATTCACTTTGTCGGATTGATTTACACTGGTACACTGGACTTTGAGACTGAAATATCAAAAGCATTGCGCGATACGGGCCAAACATGCTGATTTTCCCGGGCAAGGACCTTCCGAAAAAATTGCACAGACCAGCTTTGGCATGGCATTCAAGTCAATAATAATGAATTGAAAACGATATGAAGCGCTATGATTAAAGACTGTCAAGGTAATCCATATGCATTTTACAGCGCTTTTGTCTTCTACTTTCAGATACGACAGAGCTGACCAATTTCTAGTAACATCTTTCTCGGAAGCCATTAGTCAATTCCAGTCAGGCATATCACCATCGTCTGATGAACGAAGGAGAAGGCATGCTACACAGGTCGCTTTGAAGTACGTATTATCTTCTTCCTGTGTGCCTTTCTGAAACTTAGGACTCCGAGGTCCGAAAGAGAGTCAATAATGTGGTATATAAGCAGGGAAATCATTTGTCCTTAGTTTAGGAAAGCCCCATACGAACACAACATCGGAGCCGATAGATATATCGAGGAAATGGCAAGCCGAGAACAACAGAACTACGAAAACACCAAAAATTTCCTCTACTCCTATAGAAGCTACAAGATTGCGAACTTAGGATATACCTGTTTGGAATTGAAAGATGCAAGTTTTTATTCACTCTGCTTGTTCTTCTCGCAATACTTATGGCTGTTGGTGATGATAGAGGCTCGGACCCTTTCTTCATGACCAGCCCTGGTCGGTTGACATGACATTGAACAGAGACAGAGACAGTCGATACCAGTGGGCATCAATCTTGGCCCAGGATGCTGCCACTAAAGCACATTTTTATCTGATGGCTGCAAATGCCCCCACTCGCCATTTGGTGTATGGTCAGATGAGGTTTCTGGTTATCTGTGATGTCGGGGAACTGGAAATGTGAGCGACCTTTTCTCTTGCTTGAGTGTCCGGATCCTTGATTGATGTGACGCATGTACGGGCATAGGGCATTGCAAAGGGTTGTAAGTTTTCTGCAAAACCTAGAGCATTATCTCGCCGTGAATCGCCTCAATCAAGCGATTGATAATCAAGCAAAGGATCTTGTAGAAGACCTCAAAAAGCTCATTGTCCTAAAATTGGATGTACGTGCGCTCTTGTACTACTATCTAATTGGCGTCAAAACTTACATTACATTTGACAGGACTTTCCAATTGATCAAAATGCTTTGGATCTCTTCAGCCCTGATATTAGAACAGGTCAGAACCTAATGCCATATCAGCACCTCGGTATATAATTGTAGTTGTGGTCAATATTTTTCTTCAAAAATTGCCACCACGTACATAGTGACTGTTGGCAGTATATGTATCTGCGTCAGAAATGGACAGCTCTGGATAAACGGTAGCTAATACACGCAGCTTCTACGTAGATCCACATGCGTATGTATGGATATAGTAAATAAATCAATGTGTTTTAACTCGCTGCCTTTTCAAACTTGTGTTCAAAATTTACACAATTTCAGGGTATGCGCTGCCAGTGATTTCACATCAGTATTGCCTTCAAATGGCAAACAGACTAAAGATAACAGCTACTAAACCACCGAGAATTTTCTGTGCTCATATAGTTATTTTGTGGTGGGAAGACCTGCAAATCGTGAATTGTAGGGTCCTACTCAGAGCTGTACTGAGCTTTCCTTCTGATGAATTTTTGGAGATAGAAAACGAGTCTACGAACAACGAACTTAGATGCAAGAGGCAGCTAAGGGGAGGAGGATTTTCGGACATGCAAGTTCAACGAATTTGCAGGTGTTGATTGTAAGGCGCTGTTTGAGGCTGTTGTTAACCTCGTTATTCGAGAATTGCGCAGGAGTGACCAAGGGCCCAAGAAGTAGTATTCTCCGGGCCATTGCGATTGGTGTAAGAAGGTGTAAGAAGAGTTGATTTCATTGATGTCTCTTCGACCAAGGTTATCTGAGAGAAGATCCTGTATGTATTGAATCAGATCGGGGGATACCATGCAAGAGCCATCTGGAATGGTGGAGTTGTAGGTGATATATAGAGATAAATATATTGATGCATGGTTCCGTCCACAGACGGGGTCCCTCGAGGGAACGGCCAGGCCCAACCGCCTCTACTGCAGCGAACAGTACTTTTCCCGCAAGATGTTAGACTGTAGCAAGTACGGACTTGGAGGGAAAGATATAGAGCAGGTTTTGTAAATACTAGTACGCCAGGTAAAGTTAACCACGATAGCTCTATGCCTATTCTATGTCACTGTCAGATGTGCTATCGTATTCCAAATTGTTCTCGTTATCGAATGTATAGAGCAATTATCAATACAAGTTTGCAATTGTAGCAAAGCGTCATGAATGTATTTCTCCGTAGGCACAATGAGATTCCAGTCGAAGATAAATTTCCGAAGATAACCTAGTGTAAAGCCGCCGAGTTGGTGATGACTTTGTTGAAGGGAAGAGGGAGAATGGTATGAACAGAGTCGAGGAAAGATGAGCGAGATGTTGAAGATAGTGTAAGGCCGCCGAGTCAGTAAAGACTATGTTGAAGGGGAGAGGGAGGATGGTATGAAAAGAGCCAAGGAAAGTATAGAGTGATATTATAATAGACGTTGTGATTGGTGGTATTGAACACATCTCTGCCGGCACTAATGAAATTGCAATTGTTGAATCTGAGAGCGGATGGATCGTGTGGGGAGGTGCCCTTGGATCCCTATTGAGTAAAACGTCCGTTTCAAGAAAATGTTGAACTGATATCGAGGCGGGACGTACAGGTTTAACCGTGTTCGGTATTTGATTACTGAGTTCTTTGCCGAAATGTGATGTTGTTGCTGAAGGTACCTTGCTGCTTGTCGTAATACAGCGGGGAACGTAGGAAACACTCTCGAACTGAGGTGTGCTCCTGATATCCTGCATACGAGAAGTAGTGGTTGTGTTACTGGAGAGGTATCATTGCACAAGCCAAGCGGTGCATACCTCATTCCTGCCACTTTGAGTTTCTACGACTTCATCACGACCTCGCTTGCAGACCGGCTGGTAAGAGATAGGACCTTGCGATAGATTTCGGGGGATATTCGAGATATTACCACGACGAGAGGGGGCAGATTGGACAGGGGGGTCAAGATCCAATTGTGGTGTTTCGATATTTGTATCGGTGTTCGTGCAAGGGGAATGTCCGTTGAAACCGGTGTGCATCACATTCCTGCCTTCATAAGCAAGAGGGATATTTGTAATCAATTCTTCAGACGAATTTTCTTTCGTATGAGATATGACCCCCTCGTAAGCTTTCAATGCGTCTAACTCACTGAATGATCATCTTTGAGTCAATAAAATGGGAATCAGCATCGTCACTTATTTGATATCCATTTTGCTATTTGTCCTAATCTTGAGCACAACAGATGCGAAGAGATCTCCTATAGCGCATTTCTCATTACTGGTAATATTCTAAAATGAAGTTATAGTTGTAAACAATTTCGGAGGAGAGATACGCGCACATGATAGCACCTCAAGATAGACAGTAACAAAGATGCGTGAGGATCATTTCTGTACTTTGCCTCATACTTCAATATCGATAAATCAGTGTGACTGAGTAAGAACTGGTAAGAAGATTGCATTTTGTCATAATAGAGGGCAAGTTTGCTTAAGACATACCACCTTGCAGCAGGGCATAAGCCTCGTGGAGTGAGCGAAAATCGAGGTTGTAGCAGACGTCGACGACGTATGGTTTTTGGAAAACAGCTAGTCGTGATGACAGCGCGAATTCCTCATGTTGTTTGCTCGGCTTCAGTCTTGTCACCACATGAAAAACTGGAGAGTGCCTTGACTTTCATCGATGAGGTCTTGAGGGGGCACTGCTGCAGTGAGATTGATGGTGGCCAATATCGTGATTTCATTACTCAGAGTAAGTTAATGTTGATGTTATTGCTGTCTATTGTTGTCATCTTGGCAATTGTGGTAGAGGGACATGACGGCATTATCAACTGTCTGATAATTTGAAGAGAAGTAATGCAGTTTGTTGAAAGGGCATGTTCTTCAATGTTGACATTGAGTGTTGACAACGAGGATATGTTGATGACTGAACGAGGATACGGCCCAAGATAGCAAAAACGGATGTGGTTCGTGGGATCCGTGATTCGTGAAAGGAAAGGATTCTTCACCCTCTACCCTTTCTAGTATTGTTCGCTGCTCGAAATCAAGACAAGGATAGGGAAAGATGAACATGACTACTGTCAAATCGTCTTCTAAGCAGAAGCGACGTAGATACGGCAGGAAACGTCACGGTTCACACGGATTCAACCTTTCTTTCTAATTTCTCTCGATCGCGAGCAAAGAGATGGATGAAGGAGGCCCGCGAATATTGCCAACTCAAAAAAGTCTCGGACTCATTGAACATCAATCCGGATACTTGGTCCAACTGGACTCGAAACGGATTTAAAGTCGTCAGACTTAAAGCTTGAAAGCCTTGCTGGAATCAGACTCGAGCACTTCCCCCAGCCACCATCTTTACTACATAATGCCTACAGGCCACTCCTTTTCTCCTCGTGAATCTCAAATGCACATTGAGACCTTCAATCAATCCGATCTGTGGTAAGTTAGTATCATTGAAACGGTTGAAGGCTAATGGTGCAAATTGACGGCTCCTTTTCACTTTATCTAGTCTCAAATCCCTCATAAGTTGATGGAGTTACTCAATATTTGAGGCCTTGCTCACCACTGGTATGAGCACAGACTGCACAAATGTGTCCACGTATGTGCATCCTCGTTTGAAGGCTTGTTGGTAGGTGGCCAAATCTGTGTGTTCACCATTTGCTCATGCATCTGCTTCTACAGAATCATTGACTGGATGCTTGCCACAGATTGTATATTCTCATTTTCAGTGCCAACAGTGACCGCCACTGAGGAGTCATTGAGGGCCGAGTGCCTGATAAAAACCTTCCTAGTCACTGCGACATTTTTTCTGGCGAGAACAGGAAACCCGAGCGCACATGTCGACTTGGGACCGATGACGAAACGAGTGCTAGCAAAGGAATTTAACGAACTCGAAGCGGGGGAGGGAAGACATGGTCAGTCAGTATTGGACGGAACGTGTGTGTTTCTAATCTACTAGTGCATATGAATTCCTGGTAATACACAGATACTTAGAATTACGACCCGACCAAGATCTGAGTTGAGGTTTGACAGTGAAAATGTACCATCCAGAATGTTGAAGTAAGCCAGTCTCAGATGTTACATTGCTCACTGATGCCACTAGCATTTTCTTGAGCTTCAAAGAATCCTGCCAGCTGCATCAGAGTACAACACTGCTATGTACAACTTATTGAAGTGTCCTATGATCATTGTTTTTTGATCATGATGCAGGCATCTGTGGCATACCCAATTGATAACTCACTATGTATATCTAAAATGCTACAAAAAATTGTATTGACATAGGAATCTTTTCTCGTATCGTCGATCGAAGGCTCAGATAGTAATCAGTTTGTCGTCACGAATTCTTTCTAGTGCATAGCATCTATATACCCCCTGTTTGCCCATTACCTGTTTAACGCTGTTCTGTAGAGTCATCTATGGACCACTATACAAGCACTTGACGGATATCTTGCTCAATTTACTGGTTAGTCTCTTTTTTATGTCCCGAAGCCTCACGGACAAGTTCCTGGTACAGGCCCACTTTTTTATGGGTTTACCGGCCCCAAACAAATTACTAAAATGTCGATGAAAGCTCGCATATTTTTTGTGTGAGCATTCATCATGCCAGGGCGCAGCCTGACGCAATGCTCATGCCAGTGCAAACGCATTGATTCAACACAATCTCAATAGGATTTGACAATGCCGGGAACTACTGAACGAAGTCAGTGGGACGAGCCTTAGAAAGCATACAGGATGCGGATCTGCCTCAAAGATGGATGCTCACCGCTCAGCCTTGATCACAGACAGGCTATACAATCTACATTGGCATAAATGTGTCTAACCCAGCACCAATTTACACCTGGTTTATCATGTCTACTCCACATTTCATTTCCGACTCGAATGAAAGCGATTACCAGGAGACAGAGGAATTCCTGCACTTTCTCTCCCAATCCAATGTTCAACTAGCGCAGCTCGGATCTTGCTGCCTAGAATCGAATAAGGTTTGCATGCATGCCTGATAATCGAGGTCAATAGTGAAAACTTTCATTTCTGCTAGAAACTCGGATTATGTGACCCGAACAAACATGCGATTGTAGGCCACTGCACAGCATGGCAAAACTCGGCTGGTTGTTTGGTTGCATAGAATGAAAAATAATATATGATAAGAATTGACTACTGGCATAGTCAATTATTAGATCTGGAATAAATCACAGCAGAAGCAGAACCTGACTGACATTGGGCCCAATCTATCTCATTGAGATTGGAATGTTCAAGTACAGGTACACCATTGTTGGACATACCATCATAAATGTAAATTACATTTTCACTGCTAATAATTCGAGATATGAAATGTTCCCTCATTGGAATATAATAAATGACACCCTTGAGTACATACATAAAGTCTTCATTATTATATTTTAAATGAACAGTATTGTCAATGCTCAGGTATGGTCTTCCATCACAGGCAAAAGCTAGAACATTGGGTGCACATTCAATATGAAAGAATTTTCTCAAAGAGCCATGGCAAGAATCACATAGTAGGTTAGATGAGGCAGGACTATTTACACTAATCCATTCATTAGTAGAAGTTGGTAAGACTAGACGATGGTCCTCTAGTAAACTGTGCTTCAAATTATGAGGGCGGCGCTTTGACAGATGACCTTGTTCACATTGAAGCTTGGTAGTCATGAAAGAACTTTTCATTTTTAACATTTCCTCAAGAATAGTAACACAGGAGCAAAAGCCTGTCAAGCTGAACTCTCTGGGTCTTTTTGAATTGAGTAAAGACCTTAAGCTATCACGTACTGATTCAAGTGTATGTTTACCCTGTCTATATTCAGAGAAACTTTTTATTAATTGAGGTAAGTTGGTATATTCATCTCCAGTAATATTTGTCTCCATCCAAATATGTATGAGAATTGTTACAACAGAGTCAAAAGCACAGCTATTATTTGACCATAACAAACTTATTGGAAGGTTAGCCAACTGTGTTGGATTTGCAAAATCAGTATTGATTATATTCTTTTTACTTCGTCTTAGTGAAGCTTGCCTACCTGCTGATGAGCGACGTAATTTATTGCTGGGTGATATTTTGCGATGATTTGTATTTTGCTTCTTGACAGCTGAAGGCAGAGGAATTTCAGAGGAATAATATAAATCAGACACTTTTCTCTTCTTGCTGTTTACTACAGATGTAATGTTGAGTGGTGTAATTTGTGGAGGAGGTGCAAGAGAACAGGTAGTATCATCACCAATATTAGATTTTTTATTCTGCTTCATAAGTTTTTGCATAGCCTTTTTATGAATTTTAGACCAAGACAGTGGCTTTTCTGATTGTTGTACATATGGATCTTTGGCAGACCAACTCACAGCAGAATGGACTTGGCTTGGGACATAGGTTGTGCCTTTCCAAGCTAAAAAACTCTCAATCAATAAATTTCTTGTGATACCTACTACTGATGGGTCTAATGCACCTTCATATCTCAGACAGGTTATCTCATTTAACATTTCTAATTCTCGATATTCTTTTCGTAGTGGACCACTTGCACCACCAGTAATTAGTCTTGAGTCAAAACCTTGGAGAATAACAGTTGAAGCAGCAGTTCTACTTCTAGACAAAGCAGTATATATTGCATGATGATCATTCAAGGTATTGAGATCAGTTGCATTAGGATTTAGACCTTGTCCTTGTGATGCATATGCTGTCATAGAAAAACCAGGAAGTATATCAACCTGATTCCTTGTGACAGATATTTTGACATCATTTTTTAGTGCAACAATTCCTTTGGTTTTGCGTCTAGTCAAAGGTACAACATTGGGAGGTAAACCAGGCACATGAATCGGTGTTGGAGGATCATCCAAAAGTACAAAAAGTACATCCAATATGCATTGACCAAATGCACCTGTGCTTTCATGCCATGCATATACAGTACCTCTTTGACCTTTTGTAATTGAAAGTTCAGTTGCAATATTATGACGGATAATAATTGGTAAACCTATACATAGTGATAACACAGGTGGTGCATGAGTTTCATGAGCACAGGTTGGCAACTCCCAAAGATGATGTTGGAGTTCTTTTGATATGGATGACTTGACTTGTTTTTTATTTTTGGATTTAACATTCATAGGTTGATCTGCATTACTAGATGCAAGATCATCACTATAGAAATGAGTAAGAATTTGATTTGTATCTGCAGCAAAACGCAAGCAACCTAGTCTATTTATCTCATCTTTATGTTTATTTTCACCTACAATAATAGCTGCATCACGCCAAGGACTTTTTCCTACAAAAGGTCTACCAGGAGATTTGGAGGAAACCAATGTATTTAGAAAACCTATGTCCTCTTTAGTACAAGATTTGTATCGCATATTATCTAATGCCAATCTGAAGCTAATATCAGCCTTTGATGACCCTGTATTTCTCATATTTTTGCGCAAAATTACAACATGAGTTACAATATGCCAAAGTGATTTGCCCATTGCAGCACATTGTCCATTGTATTTATTTGCATCAGTGGGCCTCCTATATGAATATAAGGACACTGATTCTCCACCTACAGGTGGTAGTTGAGCAAAATCACCTGCAAAGATCATATTCATACCTCCAAAAGCTATATCATGTTTATTCTTAGCTTCACATAGTTGCACTGATATGCGATACAGATCTGAGCAACTAAGCATGGATACTTCATCTAATATCATATACTGGATATGCTCTAACCTTGCACAAACCTGAGCCATAGTGCCTCTTCCAACTTCTTCAACTTTGTTATTTAATCCTAAAAGGAAATGATAAGTAGAACCACCCAACAATGCAGCTGCATTTCCAGTAGGTGCTGAAGTAACAATGGCAAAAGAACTGTTACGATCTGCAAAAAATTGCAACACTGCTTTGATAACTTGTGATTTTCCAGTACCCCCCATGCCTCCAATATATATATATAGAGGTTCTGATACCAAACCAGCAGAATGTTGTGCTATGATTCTGAAAGCCCGCTCCTGCTCATTATTGAGGTTATGACATTTAATTATATTCAAAGTCAGCTCTTTGATACTTCCATAGTCTATTCCCAATTTATCAAAATAATGCTTGTCACAAATTTCCACAATATTGGGCCTATATTTTCCAGGATCATTCAGGTTTTCATTGTTGTCAGAAGGAGGTAATCCCCTGTCTTTGTCTCGAGTTGCCAATACTTGGTCTCTCATACCTTTTAGAATGAGATCCCAGTGCTGAGGTTTCTCCTTGGGCAATAGTTCAGGGGGACATATGGTAATGGACTTTGATTGTACACTACCAGTTAATGGTGTAACCCAACCAATATTAAATAACATATCTTTCATTGCCCTCATAGCAGATTCTCTTTTGAGAAAGAAATTTCCTTTTTTGTCCTCAGTATATTGATCATAATTGTGACCAATATCCTCTATATCAGATGAGTTCATATCTGAATGAGAGTCATCCAATTTATTTACCAAATCTGCATGTAATTGAGTAGGAATGGATGAAGGAAGCTTAGTAATATCAAGCTTTCCTGACTTCAATTGAGCACGAAAATCATCACGTGCATCCAAGCATTCAAATCGGATATTCATATTTTTCATATATAATTGACTTTGTTCACAAAAATCATAAGCTTCAAAGGCTTCATGCCAGGACTGGTCTTTTTTCTTCAAGTCTTCTCCTGTCCTCCAAGGGCAGAATAAAGTCAACATTGTACAACAATAGTACTCTCTATCATCTTTATTGGGACGAGGAAGTGCTCCTATAAAGTTTGGTACAGTCATAGATGAGTTGCGTCTAGTAGAAATGACATGTGTTTCAACCAAAGGATGACCAGCTAAGAATGGTAGACCTTTTGTGGATTTTGCAGATCTAGAGTACTTTGATTCAGTTTCAAGATCAGATAACACTTCATCCTTACTTTTACGTTTTGCTACCTTGTAGAAAGAACAGACCCAGTTATATAAACTATAGTTGACATGCTGCACAGGACGATGAGTATAGTCTAATGAAGAGGATAGTCCAACAATTTTATCCCAGCGTTTTGTAAGAATGAGTTTTGGCTCTGAAGTTGAATCATTCTCACCAAAGAAAGATCTAGCTGTTGAGACATATGTTTTCCAGTAAAAAGGAATAAAATTATGACTAGTGTAATGGTCAGGATTTTTCAGTAAGTATAAGCTGATCATTGGACTTCCCAGCTCAAGTTTTGTAGACAATAAGTTCACAATGCGACTGATAAGGCGCCTAGATTTTTCCTTTGTACTCAAAGAACCATCAATGATCTCAGTACTTTTATCAAATATGGTTTTAATACTATCAAATACAACATGTGTTTTCAAGCCTGTCTTTGTAATATAATCAGCAATATATATTACAGCAGACTTGATAGCTGTACCAGACAAAATAGATGTTACATCTGTATTGCCTCGCACCAAATATGTTAAGCCAGGTGAGATATCATTCAACCATCCTTCTAATTTCTTGAGATCAATATGGCCATTATCAGGGTCTACAGAAGTTTTTTGGAAACACTCTCTTGGAAATCTAGCTTTGCATTTCTTATGTGCATTATTTAGACATGAAGTCTCAAATTTATCCTGGTTAAGTACAGAACCATCAGGAGCGATACCTCGAAAACAATCATGAACATTTGATTTCAAAAGTAAATCATCAACAGTACATTTGAACTCTTCAAACCAATATTGAAAAATGCTGCATTTGTGGCAGTCAGTTATACCACAATCACAATATGGGGGTGGAGGAGTAGGCAAAGTCCTCTCAGGTGATATATAATTTGCATTGGACTTAGATTGCAAAGCAACAGTTTCCTTCACATAAGCATGTGAACCAGTTAAAAATTCACCTATTCTAACACTTTCCAGGAAAGAAATCAACTGTGATTGAAATGAAGAGGCAGGATCTAAAATTTTGTCACGTATTTCTTGAGGAGACAATAATTTTCTATTGAATATTAAGCCATGTAAATGAAGAGCAAGGCGGCCTTGTTGTTCTACAGTACAGTAGTAGCCACTTGTGGGGCCAAAAAGGCCACCTTCTAAGCTTTCAATATCTACAACATGCTTGAGAAATAAATTGACCAGTAAATGGAAAAATCGAGCACCAGCAACTGGATTGTTGCTAATCAAAAGTCGACATTCTGAGGAAGTCCTCAAAGGGACATCAAACTTTTCCTTAGTATCTGCATAATAGATGCAAATAGGATGTTTGAAATCACAAGGAGACACAGTAATATACCAGCTGGGACCACCAATATGATTAATCAAAGACCAGATTTCAGACTGCATATTTTTCTTTGAACTAATTGAACCTTGAGTCTTGGCACCAGCATGACTCAAATCACCTAATAGCCTAAAACATTGAATTTCTGAATCATTGGCTGGCTTGACATGCTCACCATTGGCCATACGGGTTGCAATATTTTGTAAAACAGACTTATCAATAGACAAAAATCGACTACTTACTTCATCAAATTTATTAGACTCAGCAAGAAGATAGGACTGTGAACTGCTGGCTTTGACTTGTTGATGACTGAAAGCAATTAATGGGAAATTTGGATCAAGCTGGAAACGCTTGTCATGATATAAGAGTAAAAAGTTGAGATGAGAAGATTCTGAAAATGATTTAATATTCGAAGTACCAATACCTCCAAGTCCAAAGGGAAAAAGCCAAGGAAACATTTTTGGATACAATTGAGGATTATTCCACAGACTTTCTGGATTTTCAGCATGTGATGTGCGCATAAATTTGCCTTCATTATCAAGATGCATAGCTGCAATACCAATCATTTGGTCCCTTGTCATATTTTTTATTGAAGGACCAACTATTCCATGAACAGTGAAGACACAAGTACCTTCCTCAGTACCATCATCATTCAAATCATCATGTACACTAACCCCTTCAGCATTTCTATTAGAACCTTTCTGGAAATATTCAACAGTAACAATTGGAACATTATCAGCATAGCTATCCAGATTAGCTGATGAAAATACAACATCATTATAGTCAAAATGATTGAGTATCAAGACCTGGAGTGCCTTAGCAACAACATTGCGGCGCACAAGCAATAGAGCACGGGCATAATCATCTTGGGTTGGCTTTGTAGAACCTGAAAACATGACAGCTAGTACCTCCTCAATTTCTTCTCTAGGGGGAGGTAAAGTGTCATATATTTTGGGAATGGGATTCTCAAATGCTATGACATTGGACACTAATTTGGAATAATTAGTGGAACCTTTTTGAACTCTGACAAAACATTTAGTATGACGGACTCTTGCAATCAACATTTTTTCATAGAAAGTCAAGTTTTTAAGTTCATCTGGAATATCACCCAACCAAAGACCTTTACATAATGCTAGCTTGGGTACATTTCCAGACCTCAAAGAAGAACGACAATTATTGCAAATTCTATCACCAGCTGATTTGTCTAATACTGGGCCTTTAATGTCTGAAATTGGCTCATTTGGAGAATTTCTGAAAGCCCGGGTAACAGATTGAGCTTCTAGTAAATGCAGGTAATTTTTCATATTCTTGAGAGCTGAAAGATCAGTGCACAAAGTAAGCTGCCCACATACAGCACAACCTGCCTCTTCAAAATGTACAGCAGTGCTAGACTTACACCATTTATCAATAACACCAGCCATATGAGACCTGGAAATAGGAGGAGGTGGAAATTTGAAAGTGAGTTTGCCATTCATTTTAGGGGGTGCAGTATTTGTTTTTTGAATAGGACAAGTAAAAGTAAATGGTTCAATAATCAAAGTAGATGCCAGTCCTCCTTTTAATTTATTGGGAGGCCTACCTCCACCAAAGTTTCTTTGCATGGGCTGAGAATTTATATACTCAATTTCAAGGAAGTGATACTGAACCATGAAAGTTACAATGAAGTAACAATAAGATATGAAGGCCACATTCAAAACACACAAGACTACTAAGGCCACTGTGAAAGGACACTGGACTATGAGAGTCACAGTAATGCAACACTGAACCATTAAGGACACAGTAAAAGGACACTGGACCATAAAGGTCACAGTAAAGGGACACTGAACCATCACAGTAAAAGAACACTGAACCAAAAAGGTTACAGTAAAGACCATAAGAGACTCAGTGTACATATGGTAGGGACACATTTCAAGATCAGGAATAATACTGACAATAAACCAGAGAATTGTGAAATAAATCACATGTGGTAAAAGGAAATCAGAGTGATGATTGAGCTACAATAGATGGTGGTTAGACAAACAAAAAATCAGACAACATTGAAAAAAGACTAACCAAGTGATGTAACAGTATCACTAACATCATGGACTAACAATATGGAGGAAATTAAACAAAGGAAAACTCATAAAAAAAAGATATAGGCAAACGTACCGATGAGAGAACCCACAGATCTGATAAAAAAACAGGAATTTTGCTGATCAATGGAGAGAGAGCCATTGAGTTATATGTCACTGCTATAATAATAGTACCATGAAAAGGTAATATAAAGAAGAAAGAGCAGAGCTTACCTTATGCACAGGTAGGTGCAAGTGGTAGAAGAAAACAAAGAGTACGCTGAAGAAAATTTGATTTGTAATATCATTACATGTACAGTTAAGGGCCGGCCAGAATATGATATACTCGCGGTACCCTGCAGCGCACGAACTATCTTGCTTGAATATATTTGTGAAGCTTTTGCGCCCGTCTGTTACCATTTGTTATATTTACTTATTATGTGATGAGTGCTTTATCAAAATGTTAGTGCACATATTCTATGTTTGGCTTAAAGTAGTCAGTTGCATTTGCATCCTCGCAGGACCTCGAGCCACTCCCTGAGAACAGCGGGATCAACCAATTTTAACAACAACACCAATACCAACTCGAGTCAGCAAAGTCTTCGTTCCGGGACCCCGTTCGCCCAGTCCACTTTACACACTGCGCATTCCTACAACACATCAACGACTGCATCAACCACGAGTACCACAACCACCACATTGATGGACATCCTCTCTGCGATGTCCTGGAGTCATATCACCGAAGATGAGCTGGTGTCGAACCTTGGCTCACGTGAACGCACGCGGCAAGGGGTACTGTTTGAGATTATCCAGAACAAGGACAGGTATGCGGGGGTACTGGGAAAGATGCGGGGGATGTTCATCGACCGTTGTTGCATCCATGTAGTGGGAGGGAACGGATGAACCCTGAGTCACAGGGGAATATGGAGGAGGGGAGAAAAGGGGAGGAGACATTGCCCCCGATTGCAGCACGGTTCATATCTCCCACCGGTGGAGGGAATGACTCATCCTCAGACGATGAAGACCAGGGAATGGCTGACACTGCGTGGAGAAGTCATCCTCGATTGTCATACCGCGGTGTCATTTCACCAGGATCGAGGTAACAGAAGATCTGGAGAGTATGCCATTGGCGCAAAACTTAACTAAGAAGCACTGCATACCTCGAAAATCACGTCCAGTGGAACGTCCTTTGCCAATCTTTCAAGTAGACCCAATTTTCCGCGGACTTTTCTGAATTGCTTAAACATGCGCTGTTTCTTTTTTGTGGAAGTTGCGTCCTCGTCCTTGTCTTCTTCGTCACGTCCTGCCACTCCCTCTGACAGACGCTCCTTGACGCACTTTCAACCCGCCTTGTTAGCTTTCCGAGGTGGCCTGCCCTTGTCCTCCTCACGTCCTGCCACTCCCTCTGACGGACGCTCCTTGACGCGCTATCGACCCGCCTTGGTAGCAGTAGGTGATAAATTCTTGGATATCGCATTGGCTCATTTGCTAGCGACAGTTTTTCCTTGAATTCGAAGAGATCAACGATTCATTCATTGTTGAAGCTTAACTCATACTCAAGCGCTCATAGCCACTCGAACATTAGCGCCCATGACAAATACTATACGGTCGAATCGATTGCGAGTCCAATATGAATGCGTCGCATGAGATGGGACGGGATCACGTATCGTTAAGGCTTATATACATTCAATTATAGTGACAGAACGTCGTAACATTTGAGGCTAACAAAGAACACGGATTTACATAGACAAAAATCTGACAAACTGTGAATTTTATGACTCAGGCGTATGGAAGACATGTTCCCTAAATGCGAGGATCGTATTGTTGATTCGGGGTAATAGGGTGTAAGCACGCTTTGCTAGAAAAGACCGACGAAAATCAAAACACGTTGAGTCTCGTTGAAAGGAAACGAACCTGCGAAACCAATTCCATACCACCCACTGGTCACCCACATCTACGTCGCGAAGGTGGCCTTCACTATCAATTGCAATCCCAAACGCATGGGTGGTGGAGTAACAGGTGTCCGTGGTGCGAGTACATGTAGAAGAGGTATTGCACTGAGTAATGGCATACGGTGGACCTTGATGCATCGAGAGCATGATGATCTCCGTATTGCGGCCAACCTCATCGACGGCAAGGCAAGCAAGCGTAGGAGCCACGGCACCGGCAGGCTGGTATGCACTTCGCTGAATCGCGATTAAGAATGAAGAGATCCAAGGCCGAGGGTGGTGCGCAACTTCTGGAGAAAGCTCGAATGACAGAGGTTGGCGGAGAGGGAAAGGAAAGTCGGGGTGTACATAGTAAAAATAGACAGTTCTGCGATTAACCTTGGATGTGTTAGACAAGTAAAAGGATAGAGAAAGGAGAAGAGCGCACAGTATCAGGAAGTGAAGGCGCACTCCGCAGTGTAGACAGGGCGTCAAGGGAAGGGAACGCTGCCATGGTTTTAGAGGACGACAAGTAGGGAGGGAAATAAGAAAAAGCTGGGAATAAAAGGAGCACAAAAAAGTGAGCGTCGAATGAACGAACGGAGCCCAGTTGCAGTCTTACCGTGTTCGAAAAATTTGAGAAACGAAGAGAAGTTACTTAAGGTTTGACGTTTGACGCTGGCATGCAATCAATCACGCGATTAATAGATAAAAAAGTGCTCATTGAAACTACACTAGAAAATAACACAAGCGACACAGCTATGATATAGGATAAGACAATAATTAATAGCACATATAATTGTAAAGACCTACCAAGAAACAAGTACGAACGGCAATATGAAATAATGAAGATTATTTGAGATGGGGCTTAAGACTAAAAGGGTAATATTCAGCAGTAGGACAAAGGCGAAGGATTCACAGAAGATGAAGCACTAACGCTGAGAATTGACGCATCATCACTTCTTCGTCGGATTGAGAGACAGAGTGGGGTACACCAGAGGAGGTGAATGCAAAAACGGCAACGTGATGAATACAAATGCAATTATCGGTGGAATCGGGGCGAAAAGTTGCGCGAAGAGAAGTCGGTGCAGCAGAATAACGTTTAAGGAAGAGTAGGAGAAGTTCATTGTCAGGAGCATATTTGTGGACGTGGCGAAAGAAGACGAAGCTGCCATCAGGCAAATAAGTCTCGGAGAAGACTTGCTCAATAAACTCGTGACTAGTAATTCCATTGACAGTGGGCAAGGAGTGTTTGACAGCAAGGGGTTGCTTGAGAGGTCTCGTAGAGGAAGGGTGAATATAAAAAAAATGCAGGATATGTTCATCGGCCTGTAAATATACACGAGAATATTCAGTAGTCAGAAGGCCTAGAAATATTAAGGGAACGCACTTTTAATTCAGGCGGATTTTTGGACAGAGATCTAAGTGCGCGGATAGACATCATGGTGGCCTCGAAGTTGCAAGAGCAATAAAGATGCATCTGAACGTTAAACGTTTTAAATACAAAAGAGTTACAGGCCACGAAGTACATGAGAAGCATACTGAAGAACACTAGGCAGTCGAAGACAATGTCATGGAGATAGAGGGAGCAAATGACAAGCCTGGCCTGTGGAGGGGCTTGGCTTGCAAGTGCAGAGAAAGGAAAGGTATACAGCTTCGATTTGGCATTAGTAAAAATTTACTATATTAGTAATCAAGCCAAAAACAGATGGGTCGACACAAATAATTGGCATGTTATAAGGCAGGAGCACAACACAGAAGCGGCTAAATACAGGATGATCTACAGATACTACGACTGACAACATAACTAAACTAAACTACCTCCCTTTACGGTTAGATTTCGATGGCATTAGATCTTCATGATATTCAAATCCTTCCTTGAGACCACCTGCATGAACATAAGGGCTTTCATCATCAGAATCAACTTCGCTACGGCGAGAAATACGTGAAGAACCAGCGGCATTGTCAGAAGATGGCTTCGAATGAGGAGGTTTGCGACGAGGAGGGCCCGGAAAGTCCTTTGTGCGAGTCGGAGTATTGTATATTGGTTTAGGGAAGGGACGCGAGGAGATGGGTTTGGGAAGACCTGGCCCATCATAACCAGGGGGAAGAGCAAGGACTACGACAAATTGTAGACCAAGAGAGAGGGAAAGGGGAGGTGCCTTGTATGACCCAGAAGACTGCCATGTATGAGCAGTATACCCAACACAGACAATACAGCCAGTGGGAAGGTCTTCTTCAGAGTTTTTGTAGAAAGGATAGGTACGAGAGCCAATTTGGTTCAACTGAGCAGGTGCTGCAACAAAGGAGTCCCTTCCATCAAAGATGGGGACTGTAATCGAAGTCAACACGACAGAGTAGGGAAAATACGAGCGGCATGCACCTGCACGAGAAAAGGGTAAAGGATTTTTGCAATGGAGATTCTTGGGTACATTGGAGATATCGCGCTTTTTACCAGGGGATACTACGGAAAAGAAAAGTACATGAAAGGGCCTCATGATGATGATAGGCGAAGACTCACCAGGTTCTAAAGGACTGAGGTTGTCGGGATCGTCCTTCCAAGCGTCAGAGTCGAAACGCTGGTTGGAACGAAAATCAATAATACCCTCAGAAACAGGGCACCCGAATTTTGAAGAACCAATGAGACTTCCAAAACATGCAAACAAACGCTGTGATTCCTGCATAAGTCCATGAACGCGTAAGCCTCGAATGTATCGAACGGCTTTATCTTTAACAAGAAAGGATTTGGGACTGAAAATATACGATTCAGTCACACGGCCAACTGTGAGGAAGACAGCATTGAAGAAACGATCTTCGGCAAGGACCAGGTGGATTTTGTTGTTGATTGTGGGACAAGTGATCGCACAGGGAGGAGTCGGATCGAAACGAGCACCATTGAATATGTTAGCGGATCGTACGAAATTCACGGTTTGGCGAATACATCTGAGCGAAAAATAAAATAAGCTCGAATATGTAGTCATTCATCATCAAAAACTGACCTTTCCTGACTAGAAGTGATTCCTGAAACCATGTCACGGTAGAGAAGATAATCATCATCATCGGTAATGCTTTCATCAGCTACAGGCCTGATGGTGACGGCGCTGTGACCAAACGGTAAATGTTAGCAAAACGCAAGTTAGGGTTCAAGAGAATGACTGACGGGAGGTCGACCACGGATCTAAAAGAAGCCGCAAAACGGGGATCAATCCACTCAGCATTGAGGACACCATTTTCGCCAAGATTATTGTCGATGAAAGGAACGACATCCTGAGGTTCGTGATACTGTTCCTCAAAACCTGCCGAATCTCCAGACTCCATGAGATCGTTCTCGCTAAGAGCGTCGCATATCAGCTCTTTGCGTGACTTGCGAGGAGGAGATGAAGATGCCGAATTGTCGAATCCGATAGGAGGAATCGCAGGGGAGAGCAAAGCATCTGTGAGTGCACGATGGATAATGGCATCACGATGTTTCTTCCCAGCAGCAGAGGGTTTTGGAAGGGTTTTCACTGGGGTAGTGACAAGCGGGGAAGGAGTAGTACGTTTCGAATTAGAGAAAGGATGGAACCGAAGATGATCCTTCCCTTTGAGTCTTGAAGATGGAGACCCGGTGGCAGAAGATTTAGATGGCGACGTATTCACAGTAGATGTGTCAGAATTAGAATGAGATGGCGACGATAATAGAGAACGAGGAGGTGATGGTGAAGCAGCGTAGGGTATCTTCAGAGGGGACATGCCACGCTCTAATTTTGAGGGGAAAATTTTGGTTTTAGAGGATGAGGTGGTGGGAAGAACTGGACGCATGCGGGACTCCAAAGTGGATGAGGATCGAGGAGTAGGAATCCAGCCTTCTAATGGATTAGAAGGTAAATCAGGCGAGGGAGTCCGTAAGGCAGGAATCGAACGGAAATTCGCAGGGAGGTCAATGTCCATGTTGTCATAGTCCTCAATTGAAAGGCCATGAGACAAGGACGGAGCTGGTATAGGAGACATTGTGTTTTTGGGTGACTCGGGTGGATAACATAAGTCAAAAGAATCCTCATCCACCTGATGATCAACGCCAACAACATCGGGTAAAAATGAAGATGGACGAGAAGAAAGGGAGTCCATTTGGGAGGACACAACATCGGTGACCACCGAACGCGCAGGGGCGCCGCCGCGCAGGGAAGACGAAGGTGACAAGACTAGATTTCTGAAGTTGGGATCATCAGATGCATAATATGTTCGCCCATTGACAACAATTGATGTGAGATCTTTCGGAGGGGATGGGGACACTGAAGCCAAGCTGTCGGACTGGGAAATGGTGGAGCTACTGAAGATGTCAATGTAGGGTGACTGGCGAAAAAAGAATACGTACTGCAATTGTCTCGAAGGCGTCTTGGGACTACGCAACAAGAAAGGCTTGTGATGCTCCTTAGGCTCACTCAGAGAAGGTGGGAGGACAGGGTATTCATCGTCACTCAGCTCAATCGGGCTGAAATTTTTCATTTCTGTTACTGGATACAAAAGAGGACAAAGGATAACGACAGACCTATACAGTTTTGGTGAGGAGGGACGTTTTTCCTCCGGTGTACCCTGACGAACACGATTGGAGTAAAGCTCTTTTGGTACAGGCAATGCCGAATCTCTGAACGAACAACCGATGAGAATTTGAGCAGATGATAAGAGGAAAACATTGAACATACTTGAAAGCACTCTCAGGAGAAGAGACGTCCATATCATCCTGGGCTTGACTTGAATAATTAAAATGAGTACAAACTTTAATGGACATATATAGCAACACATACGAAGCGCGAATGCGAGGAAGACTTGGCGACCTTTCAATGTCAGCTTGGACGCGAGGAGGACTTGCGGACCATTCGATGGAAGATCCATCACCGACATCATCCGCAACAATGACTGAGTCCAATTCATACTTGTTTGCGTCCGCATTGGACTCCTCAAGACAATCACCGCTGCTATCAGCATCAGAGGCAGCTGCCTCCACGTCCAGAAATTTACCCACAGAGTGGGGGTCGTTGATGAGACCAGAACGTCCAGGAGAAACCTTAGCAGTGCGTGGAAGAGAAGGACTGTGGACAATGAAAACGGGGACCTTAAAAGATAGACAAAGAACTTACAGCAGTTCAGAGCCCAATAAACGATTGGTGGGTTTGCGAGCGCGGTTTGATTTGCGAGACCTACACAGAAATGAACCTCAAGTGATATTGGACAAAAGGGAAGTCAACAAACATGTTTTTGGAGAGCAGAGTAGGTGACTGGACACAGATATGAACGTTGAGAGTGTGTACTTCAGGTATAGCGACGAGAAGACAAAGAAAAAAAATTCGAGAAAATTGAAATCAAATAAAGGCAGGATATATGATTAGTAAGGATCAGCGGAAGAGTTGAATCATGCGGGCGATGAAAAAAAAAAAAGGAAGCAGAGGGAAAGTACGACGCAGAAAGAAGTAGTGGAGCAAGGAGCAGTATAGGAAGCACGGTGCATATAAGGCCGAATAGATGATCATACTAGAAAGGTGGTACAACTACTGAGTAAAGATAGCTGAAAATTGCGAAGCGAAAAAGGGGATGAAGGTGGAAACGACAGAGCACAGATATAGGATAAGAAAAGTAGCGCATTAGCAATTATCCCCGTTCGCTTTCAACTGAAATACGAATTGTGAAATGGACCAAAGCTATAACAGCAAAGATGCTGGTGAGTAGGAAAACAGTTCGGCATGGATGAAGATGACTTACAATGTAAAACAGCTGAGGCGTTAAATAAAATGAGGACAATATGTCTGGGAAACGAGATCCGGCCCCATATCAGTTGCTTCCTTGAGGTAGTTTGAATAATTACTTACCAAGATGAGCAGATGTTACTGACACGAAATTTATAGAGAGAAGGATGGGAGGACAGTGTAGAGATACGCAAGTTTGAGGAACCTAGCTGTTGGCGAATGACCCAGAGTGATGCGAATGGAATCTTCGAGGTAATATTGCATATGCAAGGAGTACTGGAGGATAAGAGACTTCCACCTATTCGCGGTGAACTGTGAGTCATATGATTGGGGTAAAGAGGATTTGCTTACCAGTATCGGCCAGCACAAAGAAAAGGCTCCAACACCTACGACAATCCATCACCGTGAGTGGATTGGGGATCAAAAGCTTCGCGAAAGATGTCGACTGCGTGTATGACATGTACGCCCTCTTTTCGCGGCACGTACCCGGCCTGAAGATAATGGCGACAAAGGGGACAGCGGAACGGCCGATGCTCGAGATGTCAAATAGGATATTTACTCCAAAGGTAGAGGCCCCAAATATGAACCCAGCCACGGTGAATCCGGAGATGGATGAGAATGGTTTCATTGAGAGGATAAATGCAACGAATGGAATGTTTGTATATGGAGAGGAGAACATAGTAGTCTATGGAGAAGAGAGGATAGATGCTACCGGACGCAAAAAGTAAGTAACGTTAGCATTGCACAAAATGGCTGGTAAGACTAAACTCACCGTTTTCGAAGAACCGTCCGCATTCCACCTCAGAGACTGCACGTGGGTGACATTGTAGACGTCGCGTTCAGTATGGTTGCATTTGGAAGAGGAAGTGAGTTGAAGGCAAGATTATTGCTTCGCAATATTACACTTTTGGACGCAACTCACACACAAGTGAGTAAAAATGAAGGATTGACAGAAGGAAACGACTGACTTTGCATAGAAATGGCTCAAGGAAAAGGTCAAGGCACAGTCCTTGAATATCAGAGTGCAGCCGACCCTCAAGCGACGTCTTGAGTTCGAAGACGACGAAGAAGATACCAGGAAGCGAATGAAGGGAATGGATATCGAAAACGACGAAAATGAGATCGAAGACAGCGAAGAAGATGCCAGGATGCGAATGAAGGGAATGGATATCGAAAATGACGAGAACGGTAATGAAAGGGAAGGGACGTGTGAGTAGTAATGTGTGTTAGGTATCACATTTGAAGCGAAGAAGGTAGCGAAGAAGTAGAGTGGCACGTAGGATGAACAGTCACATAGTCACGGTGGTGCTGATTAAGGTCTCGTGCAAGTCACATTAAATCAATTCAGTTCAACTCACTGTTACATTTCGCCAAATAAGGCGAAACTACTGCCATAAAGGGTAATAATTTTTGTATGGAGTACCGTACATAAGGACGATACTTCCGTAAACTACAGCCTCGTAACCTTGGTAGACCTTGGTTGATCAAAGAAGGGAAGGGTTTGGAGTACCAATCACTCGCAATACTGCCTATCGACGCTGCTATCAAAGCACATTTTTGTTTGCAGGCCATCATCTCGCAAATCAAGCCAGCTTTACCCTCTGTGTCAGATTCCATAACCTTGAAAATTGAAAAATTGCAAGTCCATGTCAGCTGGGATAGTACTCTCACAACGTGCGCATCCTTCCTTTGCCTAGTAGTAGAGCATGACAATATTACTGATCAACAAACTAGGACCCTTGAAAACATTGTTAAATTTCTCAAAGGGCTTGAAGATACCCCTCGGGCTCTCACCAAAGCAGATGACAGGCAGGCCGGGAAATTTATCGAGGAATTGAAGGGAGCATTCAATATCAAGTCGGTGGTATGTATTGTCTCTTAGAGCTTCTCCTCTATGTTTGACCTTTCTCCTCAGGACTTACCTATCAGTCAATATGCCTTGGAGCTTCTAAAGTCAACCTTGAAGAGTCGAGGCTAGTGCTGTTGATATCGAGGGCTCTTTTAGACTTTGGTTATTTCTTAAATCTATGATACAATATTGGTTTTAGAGCTTCAACCTAGAATGTCTTCACTTTTACTTACCTACCAGCTTTCATAATGCGAAAGTTTTTGCCAGAAACCCACAGAATCCGCTCTTTTTCCTTCCAAAAATCTCCGGAGTTCTGCATATTTGGACATGGATGAGTACATGAGTGGCACAAAAAGTTCACGTTGCAAAATGGGAAAAGTGAAACAAAACTTGGAACGATAAGGGCAAGAGAAATTGTATCACCGACAGAAGGAACGGGAAGTGTATTGTTCTCCCATTGACACCATTTTAGAGTACTTGATGTATGAGGAAAGGGAAGGAGTTCGGCCGATTGAGGTTGAGATCAGAGATCCTGTGTATCAAAATTGTCAGGGGAACTTGCTCGAACCTCTGCAGCAACTCGGCTCGCAGATAGTCGCAGATACGGAGGTGTCTTTTTAGGGAAAGCCAAATGAAGTGTTTTCAACAATCGATGTTGATGACTTGGTCGATTAATTTTCAACGTAAATTCGTGACCAAGCCCACCCGAAGACACTAGAAGATGAACCCCATTATTCGCTCTCGCAAAGAAAGGGTTTCCAGTTTGCTTCGATGAGTTCCATCTGGCCGACTCAGCATTATATGTGAAAGACAATTATGTCCGTATAGAGTACACACAGTCCATCATACTTCTCTTATACTACATCTCAAATTTAATGATTATCCTGGACAAAACCTTGTCAATCTTCATTTCATCTGTTCAACAACTACCGTGGAACGACGTATTTCGAGTTTACCACTTGCCTAGATGCACAAAGACCAGGATAAATAACGACGATGAGGGTATGAGATAGGCAAGATAAGATACACCCACCTCCGAACTTGCCCAGCCCCTCAGAAACGGCGTTGCTGATCTTGTCAGCCGTTTGCGAGTCCTGATAGCGACGTTTCAGCGGAGTACAGTTTGGGAAAAGATAACAATAAACATACGAGGTTATAACCAGCCTTCTCAGCTGCGTACGCAACACCTTTCTCGATGTAGGAATTCGTGGAACTCTGATTCTGGTTTCCACTTTGGTTGTTGGAGTTGGAGCTGTTGGACCCATAAGAGTCGTTATTTCCATAAGTGGAAGAGTTGTTGGAATCGTTGTTACGGTTGTTGTTGCTCGAGCCATAAGAGTCATTGTTCGAACTACCGTAGGAGTCGTCGTTGTTCGAACCACCGTAAGAATCTTTGGTATTCGAGCCATAAGAATTGTTGTTCGAAGCAGCGTAAGAATCTTTGGTGTTCGAGCCATGAGAATTGTTGTTCAAACTGCCGTAGGAGTCGTTGTTGTTCGAGCCATAAGAATCGTTGTTCGAACTGCCGTAGGCATCCGTGTTGTTGGACCCATAGGAATTTTTGTTGTTGGAACTGTATGAGTTGGGGTTAGAACCGTAAGAGTCCGGGGAATTGTTGTTGTTTGAAGAACCGTGGTGGTTATGATGATTTTTGGAACCGTAAGAATCGTTTCCAGAAGACCCGTAGGTATCGTTGTTATTGTCGTTCTTTGAGCCATACGAGTCGTTGTTTCCTGCAAGGCCGTATGAGTTACTGTTGTTGCTGTTCCTCGAGCCGTGATTACCCGAAGACCCGTACGAGTCACTACTGTTGTTGGCCCTCGAGCCATAAGAGTTATCGTTTCCTGCAGAACCGTACGAATTGCTGTTCTTCGAGCCGTATGAGCTATTGTTTCCCGAAGACTCGAAGTTGTTGTTGTTCGACCCATAAGAGTCATTATCGTTCGAACGACCAAACTCTCCTTGACCACCGCGAGCGCCGGTGTCTCTATCGCTCGCACCGTAAGATTCCGAGTTCGAGTTGTTGTTTGATCCATAAGAATCATTCGAACCGAAGTCGCTGTTGTTGTTGTTGTTGTTGTTGTTGTAAGACATGACTATGAAGGAGATGTAAACTCTGTGAGATGAAAGCGCAGCAATGAAAGCATACCAGTTAAGAAGAAGTCTACGAATGCGTGGGGAAGATACGAGGTGGGGATGGAGATAAACTGGAATTAATCGATGAATTTCGTTCCTTTTTATACCTCGATAAACGGGTGACGTCAAGGGGACAGGAAAATTCGATGATGTCAAAATATCCTTCAAGAGGCAAGTAGAAGCGGAAGCATGAATCTCAAGGATTGAGGATTGATCCGCAGTTTTTCTGGCAGAGTCTGGCACGGCGGGTGAAGGCTACAATGAAGACGACTGTCAAGTTTTGTGGTCTAGACTACATATTAGCTGGGCTCTGCGGAACTACGAACAGAGCTTTATGCCATGCTCCCATTGTCCTCAAGGCTCGAATGTCCTAGTGTTCTCGCTTGAAGTGCAAATCGGAGTTCTTGAACGTGCATGCAGTCTTTCAATCAATCTGACGGCTGTACAGAGGAACCGAACAAAGAAAGGAGAACGCCAAATATCTCGAACGTTGAGTTATATTAGCCAGTCATATCCATGTGTTTCCCAAAATTCGACAGCAAGGGTACTCACTGCTCAGGACGACTCACAGTGCTGCGTATTTTACGTGAGTAAATGCAGATGACCAGGAAATCACACTGGAGCATTGAGTGTAACCGACTGCAAGTACATTCTCCTTCACTTGACATCGAAAACCCATCAGATCTAGAAACGATGAGATGAACACCCTTGTAGACCCGGAAGGTAGCGAACCACGAACTTGTTCTTTAGAAATTATGTTGAGGCTGTTCCCTCTACTCCAGATCGATGGACTCGATGATAAATCTTTCTGGCTGAGCATCTTCCAGAGTTCCCATTAATGCTGGCACGCACTGCAGGTTCTGAGGGACAGAATTAGTATGCGACGTGAATGAATATCCAATTCAACAAGAATGAACTATCAGAAACATCCACACTCACCACGCCACTGTCATTTTCCAGATGGATGTAACTCAGATATTGATATATATCAGACAAGAGCCGAAAAAGACATGAACATAGGATTGCTATACACATACAAATCTTCTAATTCTTCTGTTAAAGGATGTCGCCCAGAATATCCAAAGAGGCATCCGGCGGTTACTTAGGATCAGCGACAGACCCACACTGCTTACATTTACGCAAATCGGGCGTTTGTTGCCAACGTTCTATCACCGGCTTGAGTTGCGTCCCGAGATCAGTTACATGGAAGGACTCTTCATAGATGATCGTTGGCTTGTCGTGAGTTGATGATGGGCAATACCACCGCAAACGATCTATGGACGACGATGAAAATCAGTTGATAACAACAAACAACGTAGTATTGCACCTATTGAATTACCAGGGCGTTCTCTTTCCATAACGAGACCAATGGTATCGGCGAAGCGCACAGGATTATGTGGTGTATTGGCTAACAATTAAATGAAGCCATAATAAACAGAAAGCCACCATCAAGAAGATGCGTACCAGGCAATAAAAACATCTCTCCCTCCTCTATGCGAATGTCTCTGAAGGTGCCGTCATCTACTGTCCTCAGAAGCATGCCACCCTTGTACTGGTAGAACCATTCCTACGAGCGAGCATAAGAGCTTGCACTGGTTCCGTTCGGCAGACTCATACTTCGGTTTCGTTAACATGATAGTCATTCCTTTCATTAGGACCTCCTACTACCATAACGACGAAATCACCACCACGATATAAGCAAAAGTTGTTGACTGGCGGTTTGAGTAAGTGAGAATTTTCTGATATCCATTTCGTAAAATTAATTGGGGATGAAAGAGGCATAGTAGTACCAGTTGGATGGAGATTGGATGGAGAGAATGTTGCTTTGGAATCCCGAGGACCGAAGTGATGATTCAATCCATGATCCAAGCATGTGACTGTGAGAGGATTAATCATGTGCATTAGGCGCGTGTTCAAACCTCACGCAGCCGTACGCTCGTTCCTACATCTCCACTCGCAAATGTTCTACTCATCATCATAGGACGCATTGCTAAATACTTGTAATGGCTCCTCTATCTGCCGCATTAACGGACGAAGGGAAGAGACGAAGCTCGATAGATAAAGCGAAAGTGTCACATGTAAGGTGCTTTTCGGATGTCTGCAGATTTGCAAATACTCATTACATCTGTAGCTTTCGCGACAATTACAACTACGCCTTCAATATGCCAGACTCAAAGTAGAACATGGCTGGGTGTGCTATCTTCATTTCATACTGAACGACCGGTCGCGGCTGATGCCTCTGTTACTATTAGCATAAACAAAATCTGAATGAAGTTGAAAATCTTTACTTTCGGCGAACGAATAATAGACCGCGGCAACAATCAGGCTTTGGACCGACTACGCAAACTTCCTATTTGAGTACTAGTAACATCCACCCCCTAGCTCCACAAACTTTATCCTTCAAAGCACATACCTTTTCTAAGGTTTTTGAACCTGCCCCAGTCACAATGACCAATCATCCGGTCGTTCCTTTTTCTTCTTCTCCGGCTACTGGTCCTTCTGTGGATAGTTCCCCTCCATCGTCCACCGCAGAGCTTAGTGAAACTCAATCTTCATCCCAGGGTGCTATCAACCCCTCTTCTCTGACTTCTTCGCTGTCTCCCTCTTCCTCGAATATCGGACCAGCCATCCCATCATCCGTCGTCTTAACTATGCCTTCCCGTGCTCATGTATGTACATCCTTTCTCTACTCATAAGTGATATCTCATCTCCGTCCTACATCCGTCCTAGACTGCTTCCACTCAAGAAACACACCAACCAATCCCTTCACCCTCTGCATCTGCATCCGTGCAGACTTCAAACCTTCACGGTCCTGTAATCCCATTATCTGCTCGAGCCATGCAAAAACAACGCCAAACGGTGAAACCAATTCCGCTCACTTCTATTGCTGCCGCTGCTCGACCACGTTCAGCCAACACAAGCTCTATGCCAGCTTACCCCGCATCTGTTTCGAACCCAACCCGTTCCGTTATCCCTCATTTCAACCAATTCACCTCTACACCGGTTCCCCTGGTGGATACAATGGGTCGGAACGTCGCTTCCCTGACGTACGACTCGTTTTGGTCTTCGCATAATGCCTCTGTAATCGCAAATCGCCCGCTTAGTTTCCGGGCGTCTGTTGGACCCGTTGGAGGAAAAGCTGGGGAATTCGGAGCTGGTATAGGTCCTGGAATTGGCAGTGGTGTTACTGCGTATCCTGGTGCCATTCATTCTGGAATGGATAATACCATGTCGGTGAATGCTCTAGCCCGCATCAGCTCTGACCTTGTGACTGCTCCCAATTATTCTGGGTCAACGCTTGGGCTTAGCCAGCCGTTTTAAGTCCCCACAAGCCCGTTGGAACTTGCCCGTAATTTCTCTGTATAGGAAATATTCGGTTACCGTTCATGGGTGCAAATGAGCTTCATACACCTAATCACTGTAGAAATTTGTACGGTCAGTAATGTTTATCCTCTTATCCCACTATGTATCTTGACTTCAACTGGTCAGCTATCTCTGAGGTACAGATGCTATAAGCATGCTTGGTGCAAGAATGAATGAGGGTTACAGATTTCACGACCTGGTCAATGTATCGATACTCAAAGTCCTAGAAATACGCGATATCATCACTATCCAGCCAACCTCCAGCATCCGCTATACTCACCACCCGCTCAGAGTCTTTTTCATCTTGCCATATCCCCATCTCCTGCTGCTCTTCCGCCAAAATAGCACCATCAGAGTACGGTTCTCCGTCATCTGTTTCATGCAAAGGCTGCCCCCCAATTGATTTCCTATCAGACTTGGGATAGACGAACTTAAGATTAGAGAACGTTCGATGACTCGGTGGTGCTCGTTGTGCGAAAGGAGTTTCAGGTGAAGACGTTGCATCTCGTGCGCGCAATACACCTCCGAGCTCGGTTGCTATTGTTCTAGGATTCCAACCGCTGAAGTTCCAACCGCTGTCAGTGCCCTACAAGCAGTTTCAATGTTGAAAATGGCGGACGGGAGTAAAGCTCATGTACCTGGTTGATGATCCATGACCGAACGTCTCGTACACCATCCCACGACTCCTTCTCTTTATTGATATTGTCGAAAAAATCTGGTTTGCAAACTTTTTGATTCAAACGTGGGACTGGAGCTGGAAGTGAATGAAGTGTCCCCAGGGCAAGTAGATGAAATCTATATGGGTTGACTTGATACCACTGAATAAAACATACATTAGAATAGAGGAGATAATAAATGAAGGGCTACAAAAACTTGCTGTATCTCCGCCACTGGAGTCAGCCCAACTTAGCCAGTCGGCAATTCCATCGCACTGGTCTACATCAGTACAAAACTGGATGAAGTTTTGGTGAATGTACAACGAAAACAGAGAGGAGTCGATTGGCGAATCAGAGTAGATGGTCTAAACAATTCTGAGTGGATATAATCTACATGCTAGTCTAGTATGCTCACATTGACGTCCACTCGACTAGCCTTCCTGTCGTGTTCGCTCAAGTACGGTGGTAGTTTCGGTGGGTCCTTCAACCTTTTATCGATTTCTTGATCCTTTTTTATATCCCTGGCAGAAGCAGAGGGAGCCGGAGGATCACCTTTACCTACAGAAAGGAAGCATGCTTATCATCAGAACGAAGATGATTGAGTTTATGACGAACGTTTATTATAAAACACCTTCCCCATCAAGTGAAACAAAGCCAAGCTCTGCTCCCTTCGAGTGATACTTTCCATGAGAACCTGTGCGTCTGCGCCCTTCGTTTTGTTATTCAATCTGATACAAGCAAACTGTAACGCCATGATTGCACTTCGAATGTCGCCATTGGCAGAGTCAACAATGATGTCGAGCATCTGGCCGTTTATGGGAGATTTCTGCGACGAAAATTTTCTACTGAGCAGCGCTTGAAGAGCCTTCTTCAGTAGTGTAGGGGCAATTGGATTAAACCTACAAAAGTTTGAACAATACATTGCTGGTGTGAAACATAAACCTACCTGATCTCATCCACATAGGGCCCATTGAGAACATCCTTCGGGAGTATACTTCTGATATCAACTGCGCTGTCCTGGTCTCGTTCCCAGACACCACTGGCCAGACGCTCGTCTCCTGCCTCACCTCTCATACCCGAATCGCTCAGGACAATGACAACTGGGACTGGATTGGGATCTTGGTTTTCAACCAAGGACCGAATTACATCGTGAAACTGCGAGCGAGTATTGGAGTGTAGGACGTTGGGTAGATCTTCAAGAAGAATGATGCGCTGAATCGGTGTTGGATTCGAATTAGAGCTTGAGAGCGACGATGAAGGGAGTGGTCGTTTCCGAGGGTTTGGTGTAGAAGATGAGCTGAAAACACTCTGGCACTGTGATGCGCGCTCTAGAAATAACCGGAATTTGGTGAATATTGTATCATCCGACACCCAAAGGCCTGAAGACGTCGCATCGAAATCTGGCACGCACATCGTCAGAAAAGTCTGTGTTGTACTAGGAAGGACATACCTGTAGCATTTGTAAAACTTTCACTAGTCGAACTCTTCCATTCAATGATTTCAAATTTCAACTCCTGGCTCAAGACTCGTATTGTCGATGACTTGGCAGTTCCCGCTGGTCCCGTGAGAACTAAAACCCGCTGCATATCATGAGCTTCGACTTCTCTGATAAGACTCATTTACATACCCGGTATTTGCGTAACTTTCCGAACGGTCCACCTTCCAGTGATTCGCGCAGCCAATTACGAACATTTTCCACCTTCCGCACATGGACGGCTAACTCTGCCTATAAACTCGTTGAGCTTTCTGTTTTCCAAACGAAAAGTGATCACCCACCTCCGATCGCGGCTCATACATATCAACCCACAATTGGCCACTGTCTACTATGTTCATCAGCATAGACGCAACAACGAGGGTCAAGCATCACCTTGAATTTCTATCTCTTGAGATGGTGAAGGATCCTTCATGATCTCTTTCTCTTTCCCCTTCCTTTTGGAACTAGACTGCGTTGATGACAATTCTTCTTGCGAAAGAGGAACATTGATAAACTGGATAACAGGCAATTCAATATAAGTATTCAATAGTAATGAGCTGAAACATTTACAGCAGTCAAAGGATTGATACGTCTGGTGTTCGCGGTACTTGGTTCCAGCTTTAGCGTCGTGCGCTTCTGCGAGGCAGATGTGTTTTTGGAGGTAGATGTTGTTTTCTGAGATGAACGGGAACGCATAGCGGTACTTATAAAAGTATGAAGGCTGAATGAAGGCAAGCATGCAAGCAATTGCGAAGTTAAGCAATAAGTATGTTAAGTCCTCGACGTGGATAAGGCCAAGGCGTGATATGTAGGACACGGTGTGACTATCTCACGTGAATGACATGCCCCTTATCAGGAAGTTGAATGATCTCCCATCCCCGTCTCCACCCAATTAACTACTCTTACCATTCCTCAGTAACTCTCCATTATTACCTTACTTCTGGGATGTGTGAATACCTTTTCTGCTAGCAGCGGCCAGGCTATAAAACAAAGTCAGTCCTCGTAACGGAACTGCCGGACTTCCCGTCGATTTAACTCTATCTGCAAACTACCTGAAGCTTTGTTATACACCTCGTACTCCGTTAATGATTGCAATGCCTTCATCAACAGAAACTTGCGCGGGTCTCCGTTCTCCGGACCCCCAGACTCATAAAAAATGACATTCAAACAGATGCGAGAACAGAGGATCCCTCTCGAAGATTATGTCTCTAGGATCACCTCTTCTCACTAATGAGCGCACCCCTCTGCTCGCGGGCTCCTTGGCGGAAAATGGTCTCAACGACAATCGTGTAGCTGACAATGCCTCCCTTGTTGCTCGTACATCGGAACCGCCGCAATATGTGTATGACAAGCCGACTTCCTCTCTCGCCCCAGTGGTTTGTACACCGTTCTACCTACTGGAACTCCATCGAATATTGTTCTCCTAGTTCGTTCCAATGGCTATTGGTGTTTTTCTAGCTGCTATGGATGGTTCTATCGTTGTATCATGTAGGCACTGATTGATGTGAATCGCTGAGACTTCAGCTTATGATTTTCTTTACAGCTTCCGCTGCTATTGGGAGTGAGCTCAAACAGCTACAAAACGCCAGTTGGGTAGCTACCGGATACATGCTTTCTAGTACGAACGATCTGATTCCGTCTCAACAATACCCTTCTAAAATCTTTCATGCAGTGACAAGTTTCCAGTCTGTTCTCGCTTTTCGATATGAAATTTTAATTCATTGAAACATCTCGATAGGCCTCTATATGGTAAATTTAGCGACATTTTCGGTCGTAAGGCCTGTTTACTGTTCGCCTATACTGTTTTTGCCACCGGATGCCTTCTATGTGGATTCTCTCGAAATATGAGTCAACTTATCGCGGCTCGAGCCATTGCTGGAGTTGGAGGCGCAGGGATGACAACGTATGCTGGAATGGATTTGGTTGGTTTACATCTAACTAATGGTTAACTAGTCTAGTCAGCATTATCATGTCCGACATTGTCCCCTTGCGTTCTCGTGGAACTTGGCAAGGTAATGAGGGTGTGATCACGTATGCTGGGTTATTGAATATCGTCTTCAGGAATAATCAATATCGTTTTTCAATCTGGCTCTGCCATTGGCGCTCCCTTAGGAGGGTATCTAGCCGACAACTTTGGATGGCGTTGGTGAGTGCGTGATAAATATATGTAGCATACCTCATAACTTCCTATAGGGCGTTCATCGTACAAGTTCCCATCACTCTACTCGCAATCATTTTTGTGTCTATCTCACTGCACTTGCCCCATCATGATGGCTCCGATTTGCGGGCCAAACTCAAACGTATCGATGTTGGAGGATCCATTGCCCTTGTTGCAACTGTCTTCTTCCTTCTTTTTGGACTGGACCGAGGCGGAAATCTGTCTTGGGGAGACAATCTCACGATGTCCTCCCTCATTGCCTGCGTCATTTCATTGATTATCTTCCTCATAATTGAAACAAAAATTGCACCAGAGCCGTTAGCTCCTCAACGAATAATCACCAAGAACTCCCTTTTTGTGACCTATCTGTCCAATTTCTTCCCAATGGCTTCAGGAATGTCAATGCTGTTCCATGTGTCATTATACTTTCAAGCTGTCGAAGGGAAAAACGCAGCGCAATCTGGTTTGCTTCTACTGCCAGATGCTGCTGGAAGCTTGACGGGCTCTCTTTTGGGTGGCTTGCTCGTCCAGTTGTCTGGAACATATTACCTTCTGACCGTGGCCGGATTCATCGTCCTAGTAGCGGGAAGAGTAGTGGCGACTTTGATGACCGGTGTGATATTCCGATCAGCGTTAGGTGTTGGCGTTGGTGAGCAAAAGTATATCATGTTCTGACCGAATGACTCACGAGCGCTCTAATGTACAGGGATTCTGGTGGCAGCAATCGGAAATGGTCATGCATAGCCCTGTCATTTTTGTCAAAAGTAAATCCTAACATTTTGGCATATCAGGCGTATCCATCACTACTAGTTTGGTGGCACTCATTGCCAATGCTGGCCCAGCAGATCAGGCAGCTGCGACTGCTGGTACGTCACCATTCGAAAAGGGGCAAATACTGTCTAATCCAATGTTCGTTTAGCATCCTATTTGTTCCGTTCGTTGGGTATCGTGGTCGGGCTGTCGGTAGCCAGTAGCTTAGTTCAGGTCACGTTGCGCAAAGAATTGCGACGCCACCTCGAAGGGCATGATATCGATGAGGTTGGGCTTGCTTTCCTATCAAGCTCTTAGGCCTTAACTGAATTTCTCCATCCTAAGATTGTTCGACAAGTGCGCAGATCGCTGGATTACATAGATCAATTGAACCCTTCGATGCGTACGGTGGTCCGAGATTCATACGAGAAAGCAATCCATGTTACCTTGTGGTTTTCTGTCTCCATGACAGTGTGCGCTGCGGTTTGCTCCTTGTTTATCAAAGTGAAGCCCTTGATCAAACACAGTTGAAGGCTTTTTGACGTAGTCTATGATCAGATCAGTAGGGTAGTAACGCGGCGCAAGTATGTACATGGACGTGTAGAATATCGTTCATAAGAATTCGAACTCAGGCTGTGTATAAGCATCTGCGTATATGTCCTTGATCTTGTGAGTTTCAATTTTCAAGTACTGGGAGTGGACAGTGGCAACCCCAAGAAATAGATATCTTGTCTATTAAAAGTATAAGCAGCCAAGATCCAGGAAATCGCACAGCAAGGGGATAGCATGCTAAAAATATAACTACAAGTGCAAAATGTCTACAGCAAAGTCCGAAGTTGTACATCAAAATGGAAAGCGAAAAAAAAATGTCCGACTTCATGCAATGAAGGGCATAACGATAGCAAGTGAAAAGCATAATACAGTAGTACACTGTGTACACAGTGTGGATTCAGGTACAAAGTGAATCATTTTAGGGGATCCATGCGGGTGGCTTGGAGGTCCTTCGAGCACAGTTGAGTCACTGCAAAGGTTGCCCGAAACGAATTTTCAGACTCGGGTGAGCAGTAGAGATGTTCTGGAGAATACGTCGGCTGTTTACATAACACCCAAAGTCAGGGCAACACTCGATACAGGGAGTGTGGCGAGATGTACGCGAGGAGTAATGAACCATAGGCGAGAGCGATAGGATCAACGGAAGAGGCAGAGATAGAGAAAGGATGTCCTCTACTCCTTGAACTCAGGACAAGGTATATTATGACTCCTCAAGAGTTGCCTAAGCGTCAACGCTCGAGTACGCCACACATCCTTTTCCCTTGTCAGATTTTCGACAGTAGCCTCCAACTGCTGAGTGTACATCAGTTTGCGCCTCCTGCTACGTCGGGCAGCAAGAGTATTCTGTCGTCGTTTGTAGTCGATTTTTTCCTGATCAGTGGCATTCTCCGCTGGCGGCTCCTCCGTGAGTTCATCGTCCTCGTCTTCAGACATCCCAGTGGCCTGAGGTGGGGAAAGCCGGCGTTGTTGTTTTATGAAATACGAGGGGATCTCTTTGCGAGAGGTAGCAGACGGCGTAACGTAATTCCGAGGTTGTGTGGGTGCGTCTGGACCAAGGAGGGCATCCGGAGAATATCTCCTGGTAGAAGCTGAACGCAACGGGGGGGCATGAGACGTAATCGTAGGCGCAGTCCTGGTTGGTCCTGGACCGTAGTTGGAGCGCCCCGCATGAACAGTCGAGTATCCGGGAGAAGACATTTGATGCGAGATGGGATGTTGGTAGATAGCCGCTGGGTTGGTATTAGTACTACCACTTTCGGTAGCGTAATGATTGTATGTTGGATGATACATCAACACGTTTTTGTGATGGAAATCCGGGGAAATGAGTCGAATCGAGAGGGCAGGTATGCCACAATTTGCTGTAGAAACCAAGAGTCATACCAACTCTTTCCTTTATACAAAGCTGCTTGCAGAGCCCAAGCATTGCCGAATGGGAAAGAGAATGCCGATACCCGACGAAATTTAAAACACTGCCACAAAGCTATGCACTGCCAAACGTCGGTGCAGATTTTTGTGCGGGGAAGATTGGAGCCCATGGCCCCACCTACGAACATACATGCAAGGCAGCAAATACGAAAGAACGACCTCAGGATTCATCCATATAACAGTCAACCCAAATCAAGTAGTACTTCCTGATCTAAGGTGATTGATAAAAAAATGAGCTTTCTGCGAGATTTTTTGTGTGGATACGACGAATGCGAATACTTACTAACATCCCAGTCACTGGAAAGTTCTCTGCACATTCCTAGGACGAAGGACTTGATTACCATGATCACTAACAAGTTCCAATGTCTAAACTTCCGAGCTCGTTGCTCCGTTTGATGAGAATTCAACGGGATTGTTGAGTGCCTTGACGGAACAGAGGCTGACGGAGAGTTAATGTCGGATTGAAACTTGAAAGCGAAGCAGTATGTACACCGCAGCTGAGCGCATTCATTATTCAAAGTCCAAGGCTATAAGTCGTGAGAAATGCCGCCCTCTTGAATTTGCACTGCCTTCTCACACAAAATACCGGTGCACTTCAACTTGTCCTTGTACTTGATGATACCTTTGTAATGTATGATGTCAGTTTGAAGGACAACTCAGCCATCCGGTACAATGTAACCTTGCCTCCCGAAGTACAACGTTTAATGTACAACTGAAATCTCAGCTAATTTGATTCTAAAATCCGCTGCCCGATCGATTTCGCACAAGCAGAAATCGCAATGTCCGATATGCGCAAGCACAAGTGAGTAGCGAGGTCAATGCCAATAACATTGTCCGGATTCCGGAATGAATAAGTAAGAGTAAGTAGCTCACTTCACCGGACGCAATGGTCCAGAGTCCTCTTAAAACACCACTTTGTTGGCCTTTCTTTTGAAAACACCTTTCTTGCTCCTACGATTCCTTTTTCTGCACCTCCACCTTCGCTTAGTCCTCCTCCTTAACTCGAGGTCAAAATCCTTGGAAGATCATGATCAATTGGATGAATGCATGCTATTTTCGAAGTCGGGATCATCAGGGAGAGAACTTCCTACTATCCATACACCAATCGTTGTTACAGTAAAGGCGTCCCAGGTGTTTAACTTGTTGTAATGTTTCTCAGTTTGACTCTTTTGTAATTCTGATACGTTACTTCGTTGTACACTGGATAAACTGATAAACGTGCACTGGGTGAATAATACAGTTGAAAAGCAAGTCAATAACAGTTGAAAACACGTCGAAGACATCGGGAGTTGATCCAGATGCTGACTCCAAAATGAGTCGTTGATGGTAGCTACAAGAAAGCGCAAGTTGTTGAAAACTAGGTGTACAGATGAATTTGTGGATGTATTGCGTACAGGTTGTATCGAGGTGGAGAGGAATGGATACGATGATGATGATGAGAGGATATAGTGTTCCCAATGTGAGACGTGAGAAAGACTGGGAATTCGAACAATTTCTAGGTATACGGGTTTGGGTGACTGATTCCCAGGAAAGACACCTCGAAGTCCTTGAGAGCGTCTATGTGGTCTCTATGTAGTCTTCAATGACTATAGTCGTACCTGGCAGAAAAAAGGAAAGTTAAGGAAATAAGACCGTCCATTCATTCATCGGGTGGATATGTCAAGATGGCACATACTTTTTATAGAACGACTCCCTGTTAACATCGTCCGGTGCGGCCTACCCCGTGACAAAAAGAAAAAGGTATAACCAGTTAGTACGCAGGAGTGAAAAGACGGGACAGTACATGTGTAGAGTGAGATTCATGATGTATGTATAAACATGAGATGACAATGGCGAGCGGAGAGCGGTATCTATGAACCCCGAAACAAAAAAACAACTCACATTCGTCCTCGGACCTCTAGTCTTTGCCCTCTTCCCTTCTTTCTCCTCTTGGATCCTCAGAGCTCGATCGCTAGAGAGCCATTGTAAAGCAATTGCGTGAAGTGTCGAGCCCGCATTATCCGATGAGGGATTAAGAGGCCAAGGTGTTGGATTAAGCACGAACGACCCGTCACGCATATGTGCAATGTGCGTAGGAAAATCGTTAAGGCCGTCAAATATGTGTGTAGCGTCTAAGTGAGACAGAAAGAGAGATAGGTTGTGAGTATCATTCGAATCCAACAGCGAATCCCACAGCAACAACTCACAGACGACAGTAGCACCTCTATTAACAGTTTCATCTTTCAGAAAATTCAGCAGCCCGTCTCGTACTAGGACATCTAAATCCACAGTGACTTCATCTAGGAGGAGTAAGTCCCATTCGCCCATGAGACCCATACAGAGTTGGACGCGGCGGCGTTCGCCATCTGAAATGGCGTGCATGTGCCTGGAGGGTGAAAGAGTGGAGAAAAGTAAGTGAGGGCGTGAAGGAAGGAATGAGCGGTATCGATGGATGGGAGTAGATTGAGATTCAGAGTTAAGAGAATTGGAACCAGATTACAAAGGATCGAGAGGACATTAGAAAGAAATTGAACAGGAGTTGTGGAGAAAACGCACCAATCCAGATCAATGTCCAAGATATCCAACAGGTGATCTCTACGCTCTTTATGCCTATATCCACCGACACTATTGAGGAAATCAGAAACGACAATATCTCTGCGGACGCCAGCGTTCATTGCCCTATCAATGAATATCGTCAATGTCCAAGTAAATACAAGCCAATCATCCATTCAATCCGTCTCATAACATCGTGTAGAAACTAACATACCATTCCGTTCCCAGATAAACCAAATTTGGAGGAAAGTCCTTAAACACATCTTTCCCAAAGACATTGACTATTCCTTGTTGGATCATCCTTTTCCCAGCCAAAATGTACAGTAGAGTGCTCTTCCCGGCACCGTTGCCTCCGATGAGGAGAGTACGGGATCCAGTGGGTAGAGTGAAATTGACATCGCGGAGAGCGACGACAGCATCGTTGGGTTGACCGCCAGGAGGGCTGTGGCTAAATGTGAGGCTGGAAATTTCAACAGCGGGTTCCGACGACATTTGGAAACTCAATGACAAGAGGGATATGAGGAAGGAACCAGTTGTGCGGACCGGACTGCATAGGCGCCTATATTCTTAATAAGCGCTCGTGCGCACGCCAGATTCTCGAGCAATTCGAGTCCCTAAACAACATATATAATGTACAACGTCTGAAATTTTCGCGCGTAATTAGTGTCTATAGCTGTTCATGATAGGTGACAACATTGATCTTCGAGCTATAAGGAACATCTACCGCCCGACCAATTCCTCTAAAACAGGAAGATAATCCGGAGCCGTAAGACTATAACACTGAAGTCCTCTGTATCGTCCTACTTGTATGCTTCTTTGATTATGCGGAGAAGCTAGGGGTGGTTCCTTTACTACTCGTAGGATGTATCCCCGGCCGCTGAGATAATCAAGTTCCGCCATTGCGGTACCTGGAAGAGCAATAGAATTGGCAAAAGATTCTGAAGAGGAGATGGAAGGAAAAAACGTACCTCTATGATTCTTCTGCCTCGTATGAGGATACCCTAACCACGCTGACCCAATATTTAGATCTAAAACCTTCTCCTCCCCAACAATCCACAGCGTAGTCTTATTCCGACACACATGTATGGGAAAAGATTGTCGGAGACCATATATCACACGATTCGGAGCGACCGTGGCAAAGTCTTCTGGTAACACACGATTGCAATGCTCGATGAACGTCGACGTGAGGATCCCGTCCTGGACTAGAAGGTCTCTTAGAGGTGAGAGGACAGGGTTTTTGACGATTCGGTAGAGGGGAAGAGACCAAGGGATTTTGTTGGGCATTATCCAATCCCGAGTTTCACCATTCTCCTCGTCTATGGTCCTAAAACGCAGCTCAGAGCAGATGGATGGACGTCCCGATGGGGTGTGGTAATATATGTATCCAGAAGGAGACGGCAGTAACCCCAAATCGAATCTCGGAAGAAGGTTTATGGGTGGGTGCGAATCGTTTACGCGGAGGTCGGAGATAGAAGTGAAGGGTATTTGACCTATAGAGAGGTCCTATTCTTGGGTGTGAGGATGAGTAGGAATTAATTTATTAGGGAAAAAGAGAAACTAAGAAAGAAGAACGGACCAGGGGACGGGTGGTTTGAGGAGGAAGAGTGTCATGAGAGGGAGAAAATGTTGGTTGCGTTGAAGACAGACGGCGCCAAGTGGAGAAGAATGTTGGTGATCGAGAAAGGGCTGAACGCGAGGAGATAGAAAGCATGGGAAGGAGAACAAGAAAGTTAGGAAGCGCTGAGATTTACACGGGCGCTTAGGAAAGCAGCAGTCTTCTTTTTCGACCTTGAAGTTCACGTCTTTATTGACTCTTTCTTGTGCCTTTTCTTTTTCAGCATTCCCTTTCTACCTCAACTACGCTCCTGATCTACCACGATCTGTAAGCTAACGCGCTTCTCTCAAGTATAATGCTCTCCGCATTTTAAAATTATCAATCCCCTTTCCTGCTCCATTCCTGTTCCAGAACCGAGTCTGCCAAGGGTTGGAGAGGGCTCGAGACCGATTTTTGAACAAGTAGGTAAGTCCAAGCACTGAAGTAGAGCGATTCCCATCGAAAATTTGAGGTAAGTAGCGGCAACAAACCAAAGGGGGCCTGTACTTTGGTATTTTTCCTGGAGTGCTAGAGAGTGCTCGGTTCTACATAGCCCCGGCATTGATATTGATTACCAAGATCGTACATTATGTCATGGATGACAATGACGAAGTCGGATGAACTATCTCTCGAATCTCGAGTGACTGGACGGGCTGTACTGACAAACTTGACTGGGCTGTCCTCACACGGGTAGAAAAACAACTACTTAAAGGTTCTTCGAATTTTTCTCTTTTGACCAGGAGTCCAAATGTGGCTTTTATGCTATCAAGGGGGTATACTGCAGTGCGTATGTATCTTTCCGGTGATCTACCTATAGTAGCCTCGCCATTGAACATCAGTGGTTCATCCATCACTCTTTTTCAGTGATATCATCAAACCCTGGCATTCCACTTCTCAATCTACACCAAGAAAACTCCAGCCGGTCAAGATTCCTTCCTGTAGTCCCGAGTCTGTCATAGACCTCCGCCCATGCGCAACACATCCCCGCTACACCTCCATACAGACTCCAAGGTTTGTCCGGAGAAGTCATTTCTCCTGCCAAAGTAAGCTGACTGTATGACGTGGCAAGGTGCGCGAGATGGATAGCCCGAAGAAAATGCACCTTGGAGTGCTCGTAGTGTTTCCACAGCCCCATAGCATCTGAGGCGGCCAGCAAAGCATAAACGCTTCCAGCTACACCGTGGCAAAGCCCTACGCCTTTGCATAATAATCCTTTTTGATATACAAGGCTTGCGCCTCGCTGGATCGCCGTAGCGAGGCTGGACAGGAAAGATATGGATAGAAGAAATACCTCGGGATGCGCAACCGCGCGCCGGATGAGGGTAGCGAAGAGGATGAGCATACCCGATGCTCCGTGGCACCATCTACAACGCAAGAAGACTGTAGACGAACACTTATAATATATATGCGGAATCAGAACGTACTGAACGAGGTCATTCGGTTGAGTATACCTTTGCTTCAAGCTCGTCGGCCAGTTCCCATCGTCGTCTTGATAAGTAGTCAGCCACTCGATCGTTTTCAAAATATCAGAAATATATGGTTCTATCATGTCCACGGGGCACATGAGTAGAACGTGGAGAATACCCGCTGCATTGTTTTAGCAGAAAGTCAACTTTTATTTTGATGCCTTCAATTATTGTCACTTACCAACACCATGCGCTGCACCTAGATATCGCTTATGGTGCCATGACCACATTAAGGCGGGAGCAGCTGACCTACTGGACACATTAGACGCATAGTGGGAGGCCCCGAAACGCCCTCGAATAATGATAGAACGGACAACATTAGCAATGGAGGAGTCACTCGTGAGCGAGCCCAGAGTAGATCTAATCGGCGCCTCTAAATTTGCTCTGACAATGCTACTCCTCAACCTTAGCAGAGCATAGAGCAAACCAGCTTGGCCATATAAAACTTCACACCCGTCATCATTGTCATCATCGGCTGGTTCTTGACCCTGTACGTTCAAAGCTCGTCGCAGGGCCTCGGTGCAAGATGTGATATCTTCTTGTTTATACGGGCTCGAAGCCGTATCTTGTTCAAGTATATCTAAAAGAACTTCAGTCGCAATTCCCACTGGGGTTTCGAGGAAAGAAGTTTTTCCAGGGGATCTTGGTCGCCAATTTTGAACAGAGACCGACGATGATCGGACAATGCTCGACAGACAATTTTGTCGAATCTGCTGCAGGTTTTCCTGTAAGTTTGCTCGACCAACTCGGTCGAGCGGAGGACCAAGGTCGGTAAAAGTTGATACGAGGCGGGAAAAGACAGAAAACCCTATATATTCAATACATAAAATTCGTTGTCAATTCAACTTGATTCCCCCCAAAAAATAGCAAAATGTAACGGGACCTGCAGGACCATAGTAAATACTCGAGACTTCCGGGTCGGAAGCTGCATTGGCAGACTCCCGACAAACATGTCTCGTCTCTCGGACGAGGGTGATCCAAATATTGTCGACGTTTAAGTCGTGAGGAGGGCCATCCATGTGAGATATGTACCGTGTATGCATATCGAAAGTTGTTGACCTGGTATTCAGACCAAGAAAATTTGCTTCACCTCGTGCGTTATGTTGACGGTTCTGGTGGAAGAGACCTCATGTTACTAATAGTATTACAGTTATGATTTACTGACTGTGATCAAGACGTCATTGAGTTCGGCACAAACGAGCGTTTCTTTTTTCTCTCCGCAATAGAGTATCCGGCCTCTGCAGCCTACAGAGACAAATGACTTGAAAGACACCCGAAAGCCTACATACTATACGGAAACTATATAGTATTTCCGAATCACAAAACGCAAGACGCCACTGGAAAATGGACTGACGTCGTTGAAAATACTTTGTATGTTACCGCCGACCGGTACACTCCGGTACATATACATGAATTGGGCCAGGCCAGGGCATACAATATCATATCTACATAGAATCATTGTGGGAAATTTCGTCAACCAGGACATTTCCTGATTCCATGGTCAAAGCTGGTTACTAAAGCTAGTTCTAATGAGGGTCCCTCTGAAAATGGTAGTCTAAATAGCTCTCAAGGTGCTCGGGGATACATTTGTCTATAAACTCCCTTCAATTTGAACTAAGGAATGATTCAAGTACTACCCTACCATGCGTCGCTCTCCTACTTATTTAATATTCGTGTACTTCACGAGAAGCTTGAAGGCTTTCCGGATAGTAATACCCAGAGCGAAAGTAGAACAGGATTCTGTCATTAGATTTTGAAACTACTTTGTGGACTGCTAGCAGCAATCGGACGTACTATGGTAGCTATAAGTAGTGTAGTATGGACTTTGAGATTTGCAGACTCGGATACTTAGTGGCGTTCTTGTTCATATCTGAGTGTATTTACATTCTAGTTAGTAGTCGGCCATCTGAGGAATGCGCAGATATATAAATGTGATGATTACTACCGGCGACGAGCTCGTCGTGTTCGGGTCGTGATGATAATGACAATCTTCTTTCGGAAGCTTTGAATCCTGAGTGTTACTTAGTGTAGCTGACCGGATACTTTTACAGTCACGAAGGCGTATACAAATTTCTTCTATCTCAGAACTAATTCTGCGATGCAGCGCAAATAATCAAACTCCTTTCCCGCTAGCCTTTAGTTCATCTCGAATACGAACCATACCACCAGGCAACCAACATGCAGGTCTTAACCATTTCATATCGTCCGACTATTTCTCGCCTCGTTCTCTGGAGGGCTTGAAACCAGACTTCAGATCTCCTGATATGGGATGTATCAGATGCTTTTGATATTCGGAGGCTCTCTTTCCGGCGATTTTCTCTTTGACAGCGTTTTGGATCGTCATCCTAACAAGAGCGGTTTGGCCCAAGTAAAAACTATATTCTATACTCCCCTTTACCTGAGCCCTGCGCCATGGAAGGAGAATTTAGTTCTGAAAGCTCTCCTACCTTCCAAAAGGGTCAGCATGCCGCGGACAGATGGTCTTCTCGTCTTATTCTCGTCTTTGATTCTGTTCGTGCATTCTGGATACTGTTGAAGTTGTTGGTGATCGTTGCTCAATAACATAACCAGGGCTGGAAGGGCCCAGTCAAAAGTGAGCCATGATACCAGTAGTCATCAGCTCTTTCTCGTTGACTCATACAAAACTATAAGCTTTCCAAATGTACGTCTGTCTTCTGCGGATGACAAATGTGTTCTCTCAGAAGCCATTTTGCTTCTGCCCGTACACCACAAAGGATTGGCCTAGCAGAAGTCTTCTATGCACGTTCACCACAAGGCACATAATCCGCGGCTTTTATGCTACCTAAGTTCGGATACAGTTTGCTGTGAATGCTATCGAATCGGAATTTTTCATGCTTTGCTGTGCTCTGTATATTTTCTACATCCAGATTTACTGGTCCTTGAAGGAACCAACCCGATTCCATTTCCGAGTTGAATCTCAACGCCACGATCTTGATGTAATCCTTCTTGATTATAACCTCTGACTGAGGTGGATCCACCAAAGAATCTAAAGTATCGTTTGCTTCATAGGCTTTGGATGTTGAGGACTTTCTGGATCTTCACTTGCGCCTCAATGGGAGTCGTAAAGCTCAGGGTTGCTATATGGTGTGTCTCCTTCATTAAGATTGCATTTCGAGCCCAACTTCCTTCACAGTGGAGGAGGAATCGCTGGCCTTGCTCATGCATGTGCTTTAGCTAGATACCCGGACGTTTCTGTCAATATCTATGAGTCCACAGACAAATTCTCTCCGTTCGGTGCTGGTATCGGGGTTTGGCCTCGAGCGTGGAACGTACTTTGTGCACTTGGATTGGGTGAGGATATGGCAAAGATTACTTCGGGCTCCCCTTCGAGTAGTCCAGGTCCGTCCCCTCTTCCACCGTTTTGGCTTTGAGTACTGACTTCTGTGATCGATTATAGTGCAAAGTTTTTCCTTTAGAAAGAGCGATCAACCGAGTGGGTTCACGTTTGGAAACATGTTCAGTCGCGGTGAGCCGCCGCCGATCGAAGTTATTGTCGGTTTTCACTTCATTTATACTAACGTTTTTCCCGCAAAGGACCGCTGTTGACTTTTCATCGGGCACAATTTCAAGAAGTCCTTGTTCAACATTTACCTCCATCTTGTCGAATTCATCATTCCAAACGATTGAAGTCTTATTCCCAAGGCCGACTCGGGTATCCTATTCGTCTTTTGTTTGAAGACGGCACATATGCTACTTGCGACGTCTTGGTAGGCGCAGATGGGATCAAGTCAGCCGTCCGAAATTGTCTTCTTCAAGACCAGACTGAGATAGCTCGTGAAAGTGGACAACCTACAGATGAGCAGAAGACGCTAACTTGTAAAGACCATGTGTCCTGGGCAGGATCGATTGCTTATCGTGCCCTTATACCCGTGGAGAGATTAAAAGAAGATTGTGACCAGGGATTATTGACCCTTCCGATGACGCCAACTATGGTACGCTCGATTCCATTTTGCGTAGGAGAGCATCATCTTGCTAACTATCTTTCACTGATAGTACGTTGGAACAGACGTGGTTGGTGTATTTTTCCATATCTCGGCTCGGACTGTGGTGTTTACGACTCGATAAAATCAGCATATGGTTGTCTATCCAGTCTCAAAAGGAAAAGAAGTGAACCTTGCTCTTTTTCATTTCCGACCAGAGTTGCAGGGTATGCCCTTTCACGGACCTTGGAGTAGGGGAGTTGAAGAATCAGAGCTTTTCGAAATCGCTCAGTTTGAAAGTTGGGAACCCGAAGTTCAACGCTGGCTCAAGGTCAGACTTCTGTTTGCGATTCTCCATTAAAGACTCAAGGTTCGTTTGTAGTACGTTCGTAGACCCACTAAGTGGGCGATACATACGGTAGTTGACCTGCCTACCTTTACATCAGGGCGCGCGGTTCTCATAGGAGATGCAGTTTGTAGTTTCTTCAAGATCATAGGATCATTTCATTCCTGATATTCTACTTTAATTTGGCTAGGCGCACAGCTGCAGTCCACATCAGGGAACTGGAGCAGGACAAGCCATCGAGGTCTGTTCCTTATTATGACATTTGTCCCTTTACTCATTGGTTATAGGATGCATATTTCCTGGCTGAGCTATTGGGTGATCCGAGAACGACACTGAATACAGTTCAGCAAGCTCTCAAAGTTTACGATAAGTTTCGACGACCATGGACACAAGACGCAAGTGCGAAGGCTATGGCTAATGGTCGCTATTTTACTTTGCACTACGATGGATTTGACTTCGTGCATGCGGACGCAACGGCCGTCGTACAAAAGCTTCATGAGTTATCTGATGTTATGATTGATGAGTGGAAGTGGTGTTGGACTACCACCGTGGAGGACTCACTCAAAGCCGCTCTTTCGCAGTTGCAATACGCCTAAACGTCATATCTCCTTATCGCTATTTGCTCTTGCACCCGGCCTCTCCACGTATGAGGTACCGATAATGTTGTATGTACTGTACATCTATGCTTACATTAATCAAACCGTATTATGATTATGCACCTAACAATTTTTGCCGGACTAATCACGAGTAGATAATACGTCCGGTCCAGCCTCATATTTTTCTCTTGAATTCCCCTTCGTGTCGAGTCTGGAAACTGCCCATGAGATGATCTTGGCATTTGTACCTCTCCTTCACGTAGTAGGTAAGACAAGGCTGCGGCAGTGTACATGGTCTGATGCGTCTAGAGATCAGCGAAAGCAGACTGCTTTCAATTCATCCCATCCCATCCGGCCAAAATCTAGAGTCACAAAGCATAGAGAAAAGAGGCATTGCTCCTTAAATTTCGACGCTTCATATTGAGGAGGTTTGATATTTTTGTCTCATACATCAAGGTGAGGTTGTCGGAATAAACAAGTCATCCGAGTCCATTCAACAAAGCAGCCGAGCGCTTGTATCTGCTTGTACATATGTAAATTCAACGGTATGGAGATGGTATTACGAGTAACTGTACAGGTCAGGTCGCATAGAGAGGATTGTTCAGTACTTTCACTCTCTCAGTCTGATGAAAGAATTAGTGAAAATATCTTCTAGTGTTAGCACGAGAAATCTAACTAGGTTTCACGTACACCAACAACCTATAGAGGTGACTGCTTTAGGTCTAGGGTTCTAGTAATACATAGGCTGGGACCGTCTTTCCCGCTCTTTTCTGCGACGGGGGTCAGCCGTGACGCTCGGTTAAGCGCTAGAGATCAATCTCGACGGACCGAACTAAGCCGACCCACCATTTCACCATACCTCCAATGGCGACGAAGCCTCCAAAAGTTCGTTCAACTCAACCCCATCATACAGGCGTCTACAAAGCTGATTCAATAAAAGTGTGAACATTACTGGATCGTATTCTCATCCATTAACGCGCACTGCAGGATGTGGCGGAATTGTTGAACATCAACATCTCGGACGCCATAGCGATTGCTTTGGCCAGCGATGTCGAATACAGGATTCATCAGGTTGTCGAGGTCCGTGGAAACTGATTTATTACGGAGTTTCTCTGCTAATTGAGCCTCAGGAAGCCGCAAAATTTATGCGCCATGGTCGTAGAACGACTATGACTACGTCTGATATCGAACAGGCTCTTCGGGTTCTCAACATTGAACCTTTGTATGGACATACACCACACAATCCGCCGACATTCAGACGCGCAGCTCCTACCTATGGACATTCCTCGACTAATGTCGCGTCGTCAGGATCAGCAAATGCAGGAACAGTCTACTTTGTGGAGGATGAAGAGATCGATTTCGATAGAGTTCTGAGGGAAGAGAAAATAGTCATGCCAAAGGGCGTTAGTTGGACCGCGCATTGGCTGGCGGTGGAGGGTGTGCAACCTCTTATACCAGAGAATCCACCTCCAGTCCCGAGAGATGTCGACATCAATTCTACAGAGACACCAAAAACAAATGGAGTGGTCGCTGCCCCGTCGGCACCTCCGTTGTCGATGATAAATGGTACTGGAATTGCAAACAATGCGAAGAAGCCAGCACAGCAGCAGCAACAGACCCAGCAACACCTCGTCAAACAAGTCCTTTCTCGAGAACTACAGCTCTATTACACCCGCCTTACCTCATCTCTGCTGCCACCTTCATCCGACTTCGCAAAACGCACGGCAGCTCTCGCTAGTCTACGAAGCGATGCAGGGCTACAAGCCTTGTTGCCCTATCTGATTCGCTGGGTTGGAGAAGGCGTCGTCGGGGCTCTAAAAGAGGGTGGTCAAACAGAAGCGGATGGTAAAGTATTGGAAGTATTGATGGAAGTTGTCGGTTCCATACTGGATAATAATACTTTATTCGTCGAACCATACGTAGGTGCTACTTTTAATATCACATATTCTACTCTAATTCTCCATCCGCCTTCATAGCTTCACCAATTACTTCCTCCTCTTCTCTCGACTCTTCTGCATTCATCCCTTCCACGTACGCATTCAACGCAACTGCGAACGATATCTTCGCAAACACTTTCCGGCCTCCTTACCAAACATTCCACGACGTATCCATCACTTTCTCCACGAATAATGAAGACGTTACTTCTTGCTATGATCTCCCCCGGAAAGAGTAGAGGGACTCGGGAAGGTGCTATTCGAGGGTTAATTGGCGTCGGCAAGGAAGCTGTACGGAAAGGCTTGGTTGATAGCGGGGGAGCCAAAGTGGTGGGGAGTGAAGTTCAAGGCCATGAGATGGGTGATTGGGTTGAGGATGAGGCTTTAACGAAGGCAGTCTTGGACGCCCTGCGCGTCCTGCATCCACCGTCTGATTCGGAGATGACGGACTCTTTGAATTTGAACAACGAAGCTGACCTTCAGGTATTGACGCGATTGCACGAAGTCCTGGGCGAGTTCTTCGCTCAAAAGGTAGTGGGAGATGCGGCATGGGCAAAAGCAATATTAGGAGAAAATCCAAATGATGACCTGCCAGTGATGGTGGGTTGATCCTCTGACAATGTATGTACATACTCGTAACTCAGGAGTAGCTTGCCTCTCGTAGTTCCTGTCCGATTCTATTTGATGCCGCGGTGCCGACATGTGCCGAATTTTGTGTTGGCGTGATCAATTGATCATGAATAGGCCCCCAGAATCTCCTGCAGAACCTCACCCGAAATAGCGTCATTTTGGGCCCGATTTTGACGATTTCCTGGTCCTAAAATAGCGTCATTTTCAGTCAAAATCCTTAGTCCTTGTCCGTTTATAGCGTCATTTGAGTCGGCAGGAGTCGGCGCACCAGCACCAAACCAAAAAAAAATTTAAGCACCGGAAAAAAATGGAAAAAAATTTTGGAAAATTTTTCGATTTCACGTGACGATCCTGGTCCGAAATAGCGTCAATCATGGCAAAATCATAGCGCTAATTAGGGCGTCAGGCCGGGTGGGTTCTGCAGGAGATTCTGGGGGCCTTCATGAATAATCCTGGCTGTGACTGTTTATTGACTGGGACATAACCCTGACACAACCACTAATACTACACGGAATGTGGTTTTTCTCCTTCATTCGATGCGCCGTTGCTCTCTATGGGCTTACTCTCGAAGCATTTTACTCTTTAAATTTTGATGCTTTGCCCGTAACTGTCAGCGACGAAATCAAGAAAATGCTGAAGGCCCAAGCAAAGACCGTCAACTATTTCTCTGCCATCATTTCTCTCTTCCTTCTTACCATTCGCCTCTATCTTATTGCGGTCTTCTTGGTCGTTCGTGGAGCTGTACATATTGCAATGTACTGTTGTCCCAAATTCCGCAAATTGGTGAATAAACGCATTGCAGAGAGGGCTCTGAAAGCTCAGAACAAGAAGCACTACTCTAAACATGCAGTCTTGCAAAGTGTTATGTTCAATCTGTCTTTCAGCGTCCTCTTGATCGTCAATGATATTGTCTTCAATCGACCTGAAGGTGGTTTGTCGTTTCAGGAGGGCATTCTGGAGCGCTTCAACTACCTTCCACCGCGGGCAAACTGAAGGGCACCTTGATCCGAGGTGCCTTAATGGCACCTCAGTTGACACCTTGGTGGGCACCTCATGATCTGTGCACTATCATTAACCACAGTGATCCAATTGATCCGGAGTTAGATAAATAGATAAGCTTAGGACAAATCGATAAACTACTTTTTTGCCCTTCCTTCAGCTCATCAACATTAACAAGAAGTGTTGGCACATTGCGAGTAGACTCAACAATGCCACCAAGGCCAAAGGTGATATGTACTTGTAGTAACTGCTCCAACCTTACCTGTGAAAACACACATGGAATCCGTGTTCCAGGTCGAAGAGTCAGTCCACAAACCCGGATTGAGCACATTAGAAAGGATAAAGAGTCCAAGGAGTCCAAGGAGCAAGGAGCCAATCCTTCCACCTCAGATTCAAGAGAGAGATCTATGGAAACTGGTGGTGCTCAATTATTAGAGGAGATTGAGATTACTTCTCAAACCCCACAAATCTTTGACCTCAGTGCAGGCGACTGAGTACTATAATACTTCCTTGTTTGTGAATTCTGACCTCTTCAATCTCCAGTTATAGAACCTGTATTTGAAATGTGTTGGCTTCTGGCTGCTTGGCTCAGTCTCTGTGCTGGTGTTAGCAGGAAAACAGTCAACACAGTTTTGAGATGTCTCCATTTCATTATCACAACAATTGTGACTCTCATATATATTTCCCTCCAGACTTCAGGTCACAGACTTGCCACTGCAACTCCTATGGTTAATATACCAAAGGATATCCGCACTGTTTACAAACACACTCAACTAGACCCTGAACTTATCCGCATTTTTTGCTGTCCATCATGTTTCACTCAATATCCAGCAGATTCCACTCTCCGAAAGTGCACTTGGAGGAAATCACCTAAATCAAAGCCATGTAATACTGACATGTGGACTAGTCGGCATACTAAAACTGGGTTGAAAAGCATACCAAAATGTCTTTACACCACTCAAGGTCTTGGTTCATGGCTTAAGTTCTTTCTGAATAGGCCAAAAATTGATGAATGCTTGTCTCAAGCATTTTCCAAGTTGCAAAATCCAAACCCCATTTATCAGGACAAAATGTGTGATATTCAAGAAAGCCCAGCTTGGCAAAGTCTCCGTGGCTTTCTCACTTCCAAATATCACCTTGTTTTTGCAGTGTACATTGATTGGTTCAATCCTTATACCAACAAAATTGCAGGTAATATACTAATCTTTTCTCCCATTGAACTACTGTTTTTGACAAGTGATTTTTCTCAAGGAAAAGTTGTGTCCTGTGGAGCCATTATACTTTACTGCTTGAATCTTCCACCAGAAATTCAATTCCTGCCTGAGAATGTCTTTATTATTGGAATGATGCCTGCACCACATAGTCCTACTATATGGACAATTTCACATATTCTTGTCTCTTTCCAGAGAGCTATTGCTGAATTTGATCTTCCTGGCAAAATAATTCCTACACACTCACATCCTGGTGGAATCACTGTAGCAATCAGGATTATCCCATTGATTGCTGACTTACAAGCCATCCGGAAGGTAGCTGGCTTTCTATCCCATGCTGCAGGTTTATTCTGCTCTTTTTGTAACTGTCATAGAGATGATATAGAAGACCTTGACTATAACTCCTGGCAAATGCGTGATGGGGCAACTGTCCATGCTCAAGCAGCTGAATGGAAAAATCTTGTTACTGTTACAGCCAAAGAAACACTTGCAAGACAAACTGGGGTTCGGTGGACTCCTATGCATGATTTTTCATACTGGAACCCTACTAAACTGTAAGACCTGGGTCAAAATAGGTCTTAGGGTAGGTTTTGGTATGTGGAGGTTTATGTTGTAGCATGCTAGGAGCAGGCTGGAGCTCGAAGGGAGCTACGAGAACCGCGACCGAGGACGGGAATGACCTAGTAGTGGCTGGAACGACGGGATGGTGACCCTTGAGGGGTTCCTAGGAGGTCCAGGGAGGTCCCTAAGGCGTAGGGAGGTTAAGGAAGAGTGCGGGACCGTACGATATTGCGTAGTAGGAGTTGTACTTGCTAGAACGTCAATATAGGATCGAGTAGGTCGTGTATGCAACTGGGTCTCGAGAGTGTAAGCTCCCGAGAAGGGATATGCCAGGGAGGGTAGGTCCCTGGGGGCTGGGCTTGTGTTAAGATCATGTATACCGTGTAACCGTGCCAAAGCTACAAGGTGCCTAAGTGCGGAAGACGAGTGGGACAGTAGTGAAGTTATTAACAACACCGCCGTTACGCCGTTAGTCCCCGGAGAGCGGGAGTAGAGAGAGAGGAGCTAAGTAGCAGCCAGGTCGGAGCGGCGGTATCGCCGGTGACGAGGAGCAAACCAGAGAACGTTAAAGTCCTAAGGTCGAGGAGAACGTACTTCAAGGCGTTGAGCCTGAAGACTTAGAGAAGAGTTAAGTTGAGAAGGGAGATCTAAGTTGATCTAAGTTGATAATTAAACTGAGGAACTACAGTAGCGTACAGGCAGTATTTATATCTACGGAACGGCGCGGCGGTGCGGAGCGCCAGACTAACTACTAGGAGCTATACGAGTAGTACCTGCAGGGTAAAGTAAAAGACAATAAGGAGAGACTAGGACGAAAGGGTAAAAGACAATAGTGAGAGACTAGAACGAAAGGGTATGTGTAGCGAGAAAGAACAATAAAAGTCAGACTACAATAAGAGCAGATCTTCGGAGTACCGAGCGGCGGAATGGAGGCCCGCGGCATGGACTTAACAGCTTGAGGATGGACGTCCTCGAGTGTGGGAGGTGGTAATGGAGAAGCAATACGTAGTTCGACGTGAGGGGTAGCTTCAACGTTACCTAGATCGAGGTCCCGAAGCTTATGAAGTAGCTAGGGAGCTCTGGGAGGTTTGGGGAAGGGTAGCTCACCAAAATGGGTAGGCATTGGGGAGCTTTAGTAATGTCCGAGGGAGCTCGGAGACTCACTCGGAAGGCTTAGACTTGAAGTGAAAGCGTATATTCGATCATATAGACGATCAGAGAGACAATAGACAGAAGTAGAGAGAAACAGAGGTAGAGAAACAGAGAGTAAAGAGAATTCCGTATAGGTAGCAGGTACAAAGGGACAGGGACTGGACCTATGTAAAGGGTGTGTGTTCAAAATATACCAAGCTGGGGCTTGGGGACGTTGCGGAGCTACTTAAATAGGTACGGGAAGTGAACAAGGGAACATCAGAACCTAGGAAGCATGAGGCAGATAATCGAGAGAGAGTCAGGCAATCGAGATTGGTACTTAATGGGGCTGGTGTCGGAGGGCTTCGTACGCGTGTCGGAATGGTTGTCCGGACATTTTCAGGGGGTGGTGGTACTGTCTTGGGGAGGTGCGTACTGCCTCAGGGACGTCCTGGGGAGGTGGGAGGAGAGTCGGGAATGTGAGAACGTGTGGGCTGATGCTGGTGCTGGTCTGGTTATGGTCAGGGCATGACATTACCCCCCCTTGTAACCCCTTCGCGCCCTCGCGATGGGTTTTCGCGTTTCTTGGAAGGTCACCTGACATTCACGTGGTACCCGAAAATTTTCTTGTTTGAAGTCCGTCAGATATCTGCTTTCTTTTCCCTCTTCCCCCATCTCAGTTTTACGAGTCAAAACTCCTTCAACTGCAATGTCTACTCCAAATCGGCGCTCCAGATCGCGCACTCGATCTCCTCAGTTGCCCCACCTTACCACTTTGGGGGAAGTACCTTCTCTGGGTCCTGACTCCGATGGGGAGGTCGAGCAGGACCAACTGGCTTTTACCATCGAGTTCCCGTCTCGGCCACAAGTTCAACTGTTCGAAACAGTCTTTAATACTGGCAAGCCGCTGTCGAGTTACTGTCAAGATGATCCTTTGTGGCCTCTTTTGGCCGAGGTAGCTTCCCCTTGCTCTAATTGTTCGAAATCCCCGGGTAAATGCAAGGTTTTACCGAACTCCCCTCGATGCACAAACTGTTCTGCGAAAAAGACTTGTAGCCTGGGGAAGATCCTCTGGTATCGGTACTTTGCTCGTCGCTGTAACCAGGATCTCGCATATAGTCGTAGGTTTTTGGAGCTCCACGGAACTCCTGCTCATAAATCAACGTGGGGTATTCCTCTGAGTGTCTGGCGTCAGTACGACGTTGCCCTCCATGCTCGCACCTCTTCAACCTCCGCCCTCCTCGAATTGAACATGCTTGACGAGCAGGATGCTGCTGATGCTGATCAGCAAGAGTTGCAGGATTTCCTTGCCTTGCAACAGGGTGAAGCAGTAGTCGCCGCTAAACGTAAGCGCGACCGTTCTCCGATGCCTGTGGCGGGTCCTTCCGTCAAAAGGGTTCGGCAGGACGCTTCCAAGAAGCGTTCCCGTCGTAGGTCCCCTGAGGAGGAGGTAGTTCAGGAGGCTCCCCTTCGTGTCCGACTGGTGGTTCCTCCCAGTCGGTCGGTGGCAGCTTCCACTTCCACTCCACCCCCCCCTCGCGCCTCTCCTTCCTTAATGGAGGTATCCGGCGGGGACCTGCCAGTGCAGGGTCACAGCAATTTGGTTCGATTGGCGGCTGTTGCTGAAGCTCAGTCTGGTTTGGTTCAGCAACCCGTTGTTCCCCCCTCTATAAAGGGAGCAGGACCGAACCTCCTTTCCTCCAATATGCCTCCTGCTTCTCGTCCCACTCTGGTTCCTCGTGCTCTTGCTGCTCATCCCTACCGGGCTGAAAATCAACGTCTCGCGGCTCGCGTTCGGTTACTGGAGTCTCAGCTGGCTGATTCTCAGCGGGAGAATTCCTCCCTCACCTCTGCCCTTCGCGATACCTCTCATGCTCTCGAATCTCGACAACGAGAAGTAGAGCAGTTGCGGTCTTCTCGCCATGAGGTCCTGGAGCACGAAACGGAGTACCGACGCGTGTTGGATCAGTTCGTTGCTTTGGATGGAGCCTTACCGGGGACCCCTGGTCAAGTGAGTACTTAGTCTTCTCTTTCCCTTTTAAGCCATAGTTGATTTCTTCTCCTCAGAGTATTTTGGAGCGTTTCCGAAAAATGGAAGGGGACCTTCGAGATGCTGTTAGGGAGCGCAAGGTCGCGGAGGAGAAGTTGTCCTCCTCTACTCGCAAGAGTTCACAGTTGACGACCACCCTGCTGTACCAACAAGGTCGTGTTGACGAGTCCAATGCTTTAGCAACACGTCAGCGTCGCCTGGTGGAAGAATTGCAAGAGGAGGTCCATCGTGCCCGCGATCGTGCCGCTTTTGTTGAGCAAATGGTCAAGGAGTACCCTGATGAGGGTTATTACGAAGTTGTCCTGCCTCCCCTTTCGCAGCTCGAAGGTGATCTTAACAAGGCTCGCGAGGACCTCCGCCGTGTTGCTACTCTTGCTCACCGCCTTCATTGTTCCGACCCCGCGACCGTCCTTCACCACCACCACCGTTATATTGGGGCGATTATCGAAGCTGTGGTCGCCTTCCTCCGTCGTGGGCTGGAGTCTGAAGACCCTGATATTGCTACCCACAACTTACATTTGGCGTTGGATTACATGCAGGCGGCTCGGGGTGTCCATGGGGATCTCTATATCTGGTCCATTAGCAGCATCCAATGGTTCTTTAACAACGCTGTGGACGAGGACGAGGGTCTCTATCGCCTGGTATTGGAACACTCCCGATTCGACAACGACAGTCCTTTCCTGACGGCTGCTCAGCATGCGGGTTTTGCCCCTCCTCCCGATAACTCCCTCGAACCTCCTCTTCACAGGCGAATGTTGGCACTGTCCACAGCTCTCCCTCATAGCGACGGCGTTGGGAGGTGGGATGATCTCGTTCCTGCCCTTCCCAGTGTCGACCAGCTGACTGTGGATTGGGAGCAGTTGATGTTGCGCTACATCCATCACATCACGGACGTTCCCTTGTCTGGCACGGATACCCAAGTTCCCATGTCGTCGGTGGAGCCTGGTACTGAGTCATTGGCCGAAGTAACTGTCGAGCAGCTTCCTGAGGCGCCCCCTCTGTTTTTGCCTGAGCAGGAGTCTCCGACCTCTCCTTCCCCTCCTCCTACGTCCCCCACTCTGCCTCCTCCTTTCGCATCTCTCGCCAATCTAACCATCGACCTTACTGGCGACGATGACGATTTGTATGAGACGGAGGAGTCTCGTATGGCTCGCGTTTCTATGTCAAGGGAAGTTGTTGATTCGGTGGCGGTTCAGAGTGTTGTTAAGGAAGAACCATTGTAGCGTCTTCCCATTCCTCGTGTAGGCCTTTTGTCACCCTGCCTCCTTGTTGTAATTTTGTGTTCTTATACCTTACGCCTGTCTGTTTTTCTCTCTCCTTTTTTTTTTTTTGTTTTTTGTTAACTAATGAGAATGTTCTTGGTACTGTTGTGAAAATCAATAAGTGAGAAATCGTCATGCATTCAGGTTCCGTGAGCCCTCCAATGTGCAGGTTGTCGTTAGATAGTCGTGAACATGGGGTTGTCGTCCCCGTCGTGTCTTCATTGCCCTCGTCCCACCCCTCTATTCCCTTCTACCTTCCCGGTCCTCCTCCTCATCTTCTCGTGCTTCCCGTTCCAACGAAGCCCATTGCAGACGTGAAGGCTGGCGTTTCCTCGGGTGGTGTTTGTGCCAGCTACGTAGGAGCTCAATCGAGCCCACCATACCTTCCCATCCTACCCAGGAGTTGAACTCGTCGTTATACCCTTCCCATTTTACGAGGTATTCCACTTCCTCCGGTCGTCCCTTCTTGGGCTTGGAGTCAAGGATGTCCTCGACAAAATGCTCCGTCTCCCCTTTTATGAAGATTGGGGGAGGCGGGGAGGTCT